TTATAATTTTTTATATACTTTCATACCGACACCATACACAACTGTAGTGTAAATATTGTATAGAATTTAGACGAAAGTTCCTTTAAATGAGAAAACTTTTTACAAGTTAATGGTTTCGTTCATTGTTCCTGTTTTCAAAAAATGTAGAGATCTTACATTCATATCTCATTATACGTGTTGTAGAGGTTAATGAATCCCCAAAATCGATAGTTCTATAAATGTTCGATATTGGATGCTGACCACATTAGTTTTGATGGATTCACCTAGCTCTCAGTCATGTATCCGCAGCAGATCACTAGTGAAAATGCCGTGCTCAATTTCTCCTGTGATCGCTAGCCATTTTAGATCAGTTACTTCTCGATTTATTGTTAATCTATGAAATATGTATTCGAACAATCTCACTTCTGACCTTTGATTTCACTGGGTGGGCACGATTCAGTTAAGAAGGTGTTACTAGTTAAAGCGTTGTCAAACTCTAAATACCTGTAACATCTTCAATGTACAAGGTTTTATTTTAAGGTAAAATTAAAACTATTTGGTCCAAAACCTACAAAAATCATCATAATGTTTGGTTTTGCATGTGAGAATTATTTTAAATCTAATAGAATAAAAGAATTATAGATGACACATTTGATGAAGTTTGTATGATTTAGGAAACTTGAAAGAAAGCATATTATGATAAAACTCTCAATAATACTCTTGTGCTTATTGTCAGTTTAGTGCCTAAACTCTTCTATATATACTATAAGATCGTAGTATTCTTAGTTGTAGCTCAAGATACTGTACATGGCGGATCCAATTTTGGTTTCATACAAGTTTCACAAGTAATGACTTCATTTTCTTGTCATAGTTAAAGTATAATACTGAAACAAAACAAGATCGACACTAGTTGACCAATAATTTATTTTTCGGATAATTTGGAAATTGTTGGAGTTTTAACAAGATGTAAGGTGCACAGCACAAAAAACTAACACTGATGACTGAATAAAATATTTCATTGAAGGTAGTTTCTGAATTAGTGTCTTAATTGTTTTCTATTATAATTTTTAGTAGGAAGTTTTATGAACAGTAGAACTCTCTGATATTCAAACAGAGAAAGTTTACTCTCATATAGAATTCGATCTGAAAGTGATTCATAGAAACTAACTTCAAAATGTCGTACGAAATCGATCAATCAAATGTCTGCTTTTTAACTTCAGTATAGTGTCGTGCATAGAACGTGAATGAGAATTGACTTGAAATGAAATGGAGCACAACAAAAAACCTACACAACTGGATCAAAATGTTTTAAGAACACAGATCATTGGTTTTAATATGTTGTTTCCGGGTGAACTATTTACCGGCTATCGAGTTTATTTACCTTGATATAGTTTCGTACTTCACAATTAGTGGATGAAGTGTACATCAGAGAGCGATAAATTACTTGAAAAAAGGATTCGCGATAGACCTGAAATGAAGATTTTACCAAAGTACTCAAAACATTTATGCTCAAAACGACCACTGTAAAGACTTCCAATTATGATTACCTTCACGAAGTCAATGAAGTAATAATTTCTATGTACATTATTCTCAGACATATGCGAATTTCATGTACAGTGCCTTCGATCATATTCACAGAGCATTCTTTGATGTTCAATTTAGTCCTTACATAATCCCTGTATATGAGTCAAACAGTTTTCTTAATTAATAGTTAATACAGAGAATCGGACTACTTTTAATAATCACAATACCATTGAGGTGAAATGTCAAGTAACATCCAATTAGTCATGACCTTGATCTGTGTTAGATGTACGTCAAAATATCCTCATGGCTAGTCTACAGTCCTGATGCGCAACCTACCTAGAATAACCCTGGGGCTGCTAATGGGTGAGTTCGACTTGTAAGTAATTGAACTTAAATTAGAGGACAGTCACATTCACTGAAAAATGTACTAAGCGAAAGTTGATTGGTTTCCATGAGGATAAACGAGACAACTGATTTGCAGAAGTTTTCATAGATCAGAAATTTTAAGGGAGATGGAGTCTGTTCTAAAATCAGTAGTTATTTATTATTCTAGCTGGTATAAGCTGCCGCAAGATGTTGATGGTTGATGCGAATCATCAGATGTAAAAAGGTAACGTATATCCTAAAAGACGTATGGAGCCTATATGTCGAACTGCTAAAGAATAAGAAATCATGAAAGGTAAAAAGGTCTATTATTGCAGCTACTCAGTGCAAGGCACGAAGAAATACTCAGACCGATAGAACAACGCAATAGTGAAACCTTGAAAAAACCCACAAAAGATTAGATCCAAAGATTGTGGAGGAAACATTTGAAGTAGGGAGCACCTTCATCCCAGCGATACGTTCACAGAAGTACTGCACCTGCCTATCTCGGTGAGTAATCATCTGGATCTACCCACAATAACATCACATCATCATGTCACTGAAGGATAGCTGGGAGCTACAAGAATGCCAAACACCATACGAATTGAGTACTGGATTCTCACGAGAGAAGCAGTACTACGAAGAATGAACAGTAAATAAACAGAATGAAGAAAGAGATATGCCCAAACAGGGCAACAAACAATGGCTTTAACCCGTAATGGAGGCTGAAAAACGATGATTACCCATTTGGTCGTATGTGGCTCGACTCGTTTGAACCATTTGTTTTCGAGAGAAGATAAACTCTCAATGAGCATGTTTGTCTGTCCGCCTGTCTCAGTGTAAGAGCAGTGCATGCTCAAATATTCAACATTTTATGTGATGATGCCTTTATACTAGCTCATTTTAGGCTTAATAACATGATAAGCACTCCAACGACGACGTTTAATAATCGAGAGACAAATCTGGTGTGGTGTTAGTCAGAAATGAGAACATTTGGATGAATTTATGAGAACTTGTTACGTCCAGATATCTATCTGAAATTCAACTCTTTTCAAGCTAGTCATCATGCCTGTCTGTGGGAAAGGTCAATAGGGATAACAAAAAGAGTCATGTATGTGGTAATTACTGTACAATGGTTAATGTGCAAGGAATTAGGAGCTTTCCCGAGCGAGGCCTGGAGGATTCTGAATGCCTAATCACTACAGCTATTAACGGATGATGTTAGACACCTAGACCCAATGAATTAAATTAACTTCTCATAGACGAATGATCACATATAGATAACTCTAAATATAGCTATATCCCTAAAAGTTGGAAACCTTTGCCAAACCTCTCAGAGCTGTTTTGAAAAGATGGTTTAAGGTGTATGTAAACACTCTTCGAATGAGTAATAAATGGATGAGAAAGTGTCGAATTTCACGGAGTGAAGATATAATACTCATCGCTAACAAGCTGACCTCCAAGTATGGGTATTCGGTTTGGTCCTCTGCGTTCAAATTGATGAAGATGAACTTGTAAGAACAGTAAATTTCCGAACCAGAAACCATTTGCTTACTACAAATATGTGAGGGTTATGTTTATTGGATAGGGTCGACGAAAAACAAAGAAATAGCTGAAACCAAGAGACATTCCTACTGAATAACAGTTCTCAGTTGATGACTGAGTACAACGTGATTCAAATTATTAGGTACTCCATCAATGCATACTCAATTAGAGCCAATCAATTTGTCATCCGCATTGCATAACTGTATCATGTTTGTGTGATTTTACATTGTGCTAACCTCAGTTTAGGGTTTTGTGTTCTCCTCAGATCCTCGGTTTCGTCTTTTATATAATTTATGTTCGGCCCAATGGATTCAGTAGCTAAACATGGCAACAGGTACCCTGAGTTCACTTCTTATTTATTAACTATTCATACCTAGTCATCTATTTGCTATTTCTACCTAGCATTTCTTCATTTAACTCTTGGTCATAGCTGTGCGCAACAATACATCTATATTGTAAAAAATCGAAGACTACCAATCAAGGGTAACAAATCTGGTTACGTCAGAAGCAATGCTCGTTTAATTGAACAGTATCCAACATCAGACAGCCGTAGGCGGGAACTGCACTTATAAGTTGTGCTACAGAGCCAGATTATCAGGACATATATTAGAGTGGCAGTGACGAAAGAACGGTTAAGCATCTTACCGGTCGCTCAGACGAGGGTACCGGAATGCGTGTCAGTGTTCATGCTACTTCATGTTCTGGTATAAAAAACTCAAGGAAATGACTCAACAACAGTCCTATTTAGCCATGTGGTTCACCACCAAAACTTATTTTCATTTTATTATGTATATATGATTTGACTCGGGAAGCAGCGTTTGTTTTTGCTCTTCACTGACGATGAAGAAATTTGGAGAGACGTTTGAAATTATTATGACAACCAAATACTTCAGTATGGTTAAACTCGTCTTCAAGCTCGGTGGAAGAGACCCGACTTACTTTCAATCCCAAAAAGTTTAAGGTAGCCGATCTGAGACACGCCGATCTACACCTACAACTTATATGGTTCACCCATTGAGGTGTATCATGTTCGGAAGGATCCGATTTTCTTGATACCGTTGGAGCTTTAGGTACAATACGGTAAAAATTTGACACAAATTCTACTTTTTCATGCGTCATCATGTCGTGGAATTTGCTGATGGCTTAAGTATTCCAATCAACTCTCCCGGAGTCCCCCAAAAGGTAGCCTGACATATTCCAAACAACTTAAGACAGCATCTCACTAAAATTTACCAATATTTCGATTTCATGGCCACATACACTGAGGTCCCAAACTGGAGGCATGAGTTATTCGCTGATACTAAATGCAGAAGCCCGTTAAAAAGGTTCCACTTTACATGCAACTTCGGTATTATTCCACTCGTAAAACATGAAATCAGTTACGAATCGATGACATGACAACATATATCTCAGAAATTCTAACATGAATAAAACGAGTTTTATCCAATAATGAAAAGACATCTCATGAAATTCATTTGGCTTGCTTCAGTTCATTGTAAAAGTTTTAACTTACACATTGGACAATGTACGTATTTTGTGTTTGTATGCTCTACATTAATTTGTATACCTAAGCTACTAAATGAACAGAAATGATTACAGACAATGATGACGATGATTTATATGAAGGTTTTGATAACCTCAACACCAAGCTGGAAGTTGAAGAATTTGTGAATGACGCTGGATTTCAGAACGTCATTAAAAATACTAGTTATGGAAGGAAACCACCGGTACATTTCTTTTTTCATGATCATTATTCATGGTAACTGAAGGTTATGAATTACTAGGTAACCTATCTTCTTTAAATATTCACAACAAAGTAACATCTTAATTTCGATTTTTTGGGAATGTTGGTTTATACTTCATTTTGTGAATTTTAATTCAAAAATGTTCGGATATCATTCAGTCAAGTAAATTTCCAAATGCTTAATGAAAGTTGTACAAGACAGAGCTATTACTGAAAAATTGGCCCATATAACATATACTATTATATGTTATTGTGTAGGAAAATCGAAAAATGTTTCACCAAGATCACAATTCATAATACTTTTCCAAAACCTATCTGGAATTGTATCACTCTTCGTAAACACAGCTTATCAATCAATTTTATCCTAAGGGTAACCGTTGTGCATATTTATAGTGTGAATATTTTGAAAAGCGCTAAAGAGAATTTTTAACTTGATTATCCTTGTAATATATTTTTACCAAACATAAAAATCTGTCGACAATTTGTCTTTTATCAGAGCTAAATGTTTATCCTCGGAACGCACTGATATTTTTTAACTTAAATGGAACATATCGCATGTTTATATTAACCTTTGTAATTATGGATATTTACCACACTTGTTCATTTCATGCCAGGTTCTTGATCGAGGTTTAAATACATCAGTCGTTCGTAGGCCGATAGGAAGAGTACCAACATCAGCTAACTTCAGATTGGTCACCGCTTCAGGACCTGCAGGCGGAGATTTTGGAAGACCAATGACATCTGTCAGAGCTGCTGGGTATTCATCTATGGGTCGGAGACTTAGTACAGGACAACCAGGAAACCAAGTTTGGTTAGGTGATCAAACTGTCCCAACAACAATTGATGTCAGTGCTGTTCCTCCACTTGAAAGTAAACCAGATGATAGTTCCGAAGAGCGCATCAAAAATATGGAAAAAAGAGTAGGTATATGGTTGATCGTATGTACTTGTCTCAAACAGATACTGTAAACACTGAAGCTTTTTTTAGTTTCTTGCATACTTCAAACTGACAATTCGCAAGTCAGAAACCTATTCAGAGAACTATGTATAATTCAAATCATTTGCTTACAAAGCACTTTTAGTGTTGAATATAACTTTCTAAATGCATCAAAAGTAGTATCTATGATTTTTGAAAATAAACCATGTTCGTTGTTTTGAACGCTGCAGAAAATGTACATACTGAATAAAACGAGAGTAACTTAATCAAAATTCGGAAAAAAATTATTGGGCACATGAAGTCAGATGCAGACTCTCTCTCCAGGTTTTTCACAATTAATAGTGTTAGTGACTGGGGGCTTTGAGTGATATGGCTTAGAACCAACCTCAGTGGGACTTGTGTATCAGCTCTTCTTTTATTCAGTCGGTTTAAGACCTCAATATCCTTTCATGCTTGCCTTTCTTCCTGCCTTTTTAAGCCTAATCTTCACCATCACTGGCTCTATATTACTTAGATCTCTTTCTGTGTATAACTTGTTCGTTTTGTCGCGTTTTCCCAATATGATGTGGTAATATGTACAATCACACATCTTTGCAGGGCTCTACGTTTATTATGACTTACGGGCTGACTGAAATGGTGTCTTCTTACAGATAAAAGCTATTTTAAAATATAACTCAGTTGTAAAATATCTGTTTAAAGACCTTCTATCGGCTTTGTAAGAAAGAAGTATCGAGACTGTGTAAGACTGAATGATTTGTATAGACTTGAAATCACCAGCGTTTTGTTTGCTACCATTTAAAGTCCTTTAACTTGCATGTTGATAAGTTGTTGGGGATATATGAAGGCGAGCAGAACTTTTTTAAAGTATTTAGGCAAAGTTTAGGTGATGAATAGCACTAGAGTTTAGTATACACATTTCTTATCATTGGAAATCCTTCAGTTTTATACATCTGAACCCCAGTATTTGATTTTCACACGAACAAAGTGTTTAGCTAACTCCAGTAGTTATGGCAAAACAAGTTATTTGTCGACTACAATAAGCTTACTTAAACGGAAGAAACCTATGTGAGCGAAACATTACATATTTACCTACTAACTTTGAGCAAATAATGGCATCATTCTTAGGACATTCTTTGCTGTCGCAAACGAAGATAAAAATGGACGTCGTAATTCAGTCACTAATCATACTTGTTTCATGTCCTCACGTAAAATTGTTGATTCAGTATGACGGTCGACCAATATTTGTCTATATCAGTGAAATATTTCACGAGATATCACATTTGAGCTGAAATGATCCATATTTCACAAAATATATTTCAAACTTCTAAATGAGCAATGTATCCTTCAAAGCACATACTCCGGTTGCAAAGCAAAATATAAAATTAACCTTTTTCTCGTTACAAATATTCAAACAAGTCTGTGAAAATTCATTCCAAAAGTGCCTTAAAGCAAGATCGATTGTCAGAGTCCGTTGGGAGGAGTGAAAGCTCTCTACTGTGACCTTTTATCTCACGATGGTTTGTAGAAGTGTGACTTTAGCTTTTTTCTGCTTTTGTTAGGTTAATCACTTAGTTGAAGAAAGTTGTGTGGCTGCATGTCAAGGAGAAATCACTTTAGCACTCGAAAAAGCTAAAGAAGCCAGTCGCAAAGAACGTGTTCTTGCTAGACAACGAGAACAACTTGGTGTCGCAGATCAAATCAATTTAGACTTAACGTATTCAGTACTATTCAATTTAGCTAATCGTTATACAGCAAATGGAATGTATCAAGAAGCACTGAATACTTATCAAACCATTGTTCGAAATAAAATGTTTGCCCATGCAGGTTTGACTTCTTTTGATCATTGCACTTTAGCGCTTACATATGCCACTAAAAAATTACCATTTCAAATGTCGCTCCACTGCTAGTTTTTTCTGCACCATATCAATGACCTAATACTCTATTCGAAAGTTTATAATGTTGTAAATTATCTTCTATGGCTGCTATAATTTGTCATTATTGTTTGTATGTAATAACGGAACTCTTGTTTCGTGATATTTGGAAGCAAGAACGTCTACCATTTTAAAATAAGTTACTTATCTATTAAACTTTAAACTGCGACATGCAACTCCGTTTTTGGAAGTAGATTAACATCGATTTATGATAGTTTTATGCTAACAATTTCCTGAGTCAAAACAGGGTATAAAATATATGAAATATTTATTTAGTAGTCTCACAATGTGAACTACCAAGTTAAGTAAAACTCACTTATCCAGCATCTGATTATGATGGTTTGAGATTTTATGTTAGAATTATTCTGTATTTTGGTAAGTAAACTGGACAAGATCAGTGGTCTTGAGTCCGAGCAAAAAATCTTAGTATCTTGAATTTAGCAGGTATTCAGAAATTATAATAAGTTAACCAACATCAGAGAACAAAGTTACTTTGTATTACATCAAGATTTTTCACTAAACTAACGCTAAGAATCGTAAAACGGGAAAAAGCGTTCTTTTTAGTACTTGATAATGCCCACTGGTTGGTCGTTTGATATGAATTTAAGATAAAAGTTGTTTCATTTACTGCCTAATAATTAAATCATTTTGTCTATTTTTTAGGTCGACTCAAAGTAAATATGGGAAATATTTACTATGTACAGAAGAATTACTCGAAAGCTATCAAATTCTTTCGTATGGGTCTAGATCAGGTGCCTAATACACATAAATTAATGAGGTAGTTTTCAATCATTATTCAGATAACTGTTTACTTCAGAATTAAAATTATGCAGAATATTGGTATAAGCTTTGTTAAACTTGGACAATTCAGTGAAGCCATAGCAGCATTTGAGCACATTATGCAAGAGGAACCGGATACAAAAACCGGTTTCAATTTAATTGTTTGTTATTTTATCAAAGGGGATCGTAATAAAATGAAATATGCATTTCAGCAACTACTTCGAGTGGATCTACACCTGGATGATGAAGATCGATATTTACAACACAATGTAGGAATTTGATTTCGCTCTACCATTTTTCTTGATTATTTCAGGATGATAAGCATTATGATTTGATCTTGGAAGTGATTCAAAATGATGAACTGCGCCAATATGAAAAGAAAAAGTAAGTTCATACCACACCTAGTCTTTAGATAAGTACGCAGAACAATAAGAAGTACATTGATATAATTTTATAAATACTTCCTAAGGAGCTGTAAACTTACCTATACAACATTTTAGTATGATGTGAATTTTCATCCAAAATGGTATTCTATTTTATTTTTTGGTTTTTTATAATATGATAACAACATAAGCACACTCAGTGATTGTAACTTGTTTACCTTCATTTACTGAAACCGTAAAAGATAGACATCCTGATAGGCTGTTTTTACTTATGTATTTTATTCATCTTTTTTTCGTTTCTGACTGCCTACATTATTTCGATTGATTCTCTATCATTCAGATATCTCAAAATGTGATGTATACTTCTAAACAGTTGCGTCATATCCGCCTGAAGCCCCTCTGGGTCCCGAGCCCGGGTAAAGGAGGAGGGTTGGGCATAGGGTTAGCGACTCAATCCGGTAAAAAGCTAACTCACCAAGAAACGCTAACCAGAAAAAATAATTCAAATCATTTAAACCCTACCCTGGGAGTTAGAAGGTCTTCATTTAGACGAGTTATGACGTTTCATGGTGAAATCCGAGTTCCTTCGGAAGTCACGAGTCTGGTACTCCTTCTGAAAACCAGAGGAACCATTAATTTAGGTACATATTATTGTATATTATCTTTATGTTAGTTCCTAATAACCACTGTTCTAACAAACAGAGAAAAGAAAATTAAATAAGTAACTGCATATTGAAACAAACGAGTAGCACAATAACTTATGAATCCCCTGGTTATGTTGTGAAGAAACTAAGGTACCTAATTAAATATCGCCGGATGAAGAGTATAGAAAAGTGAGCTAGAAAACGAATAAAGCTTATCAAACCCGGTCTTCTTGTTAATTCGTGTATTCGTTTAACGTTGATTTAAAAGACAAGTATAGTGAATTGTCGCATTGCTGAACATCAATCGTATACAGTTATTTTATGCGTTTAAAAGTTTTTCCCACATTTTTACCATTATTGTCATCACAAGTTTCAATCATTTCTTGTTATTTTTGTCAAGTCCAACTAATAGTGCAAATTCAAAACGTATTCCAAATTTAAGTGATCCGCATCTGTGACAGGTTTTACATTGTTTCAATTTATTTATTACTCGAACCTCTGTGACGTAATACTAGAGTCCAAAACATATAATAATTTGGTTACTTCTGGTAGAGGATACACCTTACTCAAGACCTTAACCTTTGTTGAAACTCAATGCCAGTATACATTTTAAATCTTCAGTCTTCTGATTCCTATTGTTAATTCCTAATTTTTAAGGCGTAAAGATAAATTGGGTACAAACGATACATATTTGTGCAAGAGATGAGGTTCACGATATCAATTAACAGAATTTCTTCATGCGAACTAACAAGGCTGGTTTACATTAAGACACCGTCACCATAAATGAATTGGTTTCACAAGCATCAAACCATTTTTCAAACAACATATTAATAAAGTATCCATTAGTTAAACTAAGAGGCAGTAGTGATACATCTAGTTGACCAGCAGTCAACTTTAAATGAGACAGGTGAAATTCAATCCACTATATTAGTGTATGTGTACTGAAATACTCTTGCATTCGAGGACCGATTGAATTCAGTTTATTTATACACTTTTTTATTAAAATATTGTACATAAATTTATGTAGATTTTCGTTTAAAAAAATACATCGAATGTTGTGAAAAATTCATTCTACTTCACGATAACTATGCAAGTTTCTCTGAAACTGATAGACAACTTCAATTTTCTTGAGTTCTAATAAACTACAGATTGTTATCGGAAGGCTATTGTAGGTTCTTCATATGACTTAGCTATTTTTCTTCTAAATCTAGACCAATGAATGGTTATTGAACGTCTATTAAATTTGATTTAAATTTCTACAAATTATTTCTTGACCCATTCCTGTTTGCTTCAAATAAAAGGAAAGTTCAAGCAGAAAATTTCATTAAAATGGCGGCCAAAATAATTGCTCCAGTAATTGATTCCAATTTTTCTACTGGGTATGATTGGTGTATTGATCACGTGAAAATGTCCTCTTATCATGAAATTGCACATGATTTAGAAATTGATAAAGCTGTGATGTTTTTAAAACAAAGAGATTTTCATCAGGTAAGATTTAGATCTAAATGCGTAATAATAATGACATTTATACACAGGCTTTTATTATCGTGATCAATTGTTTCTTTGTCAAACAGTAATTATTGTAATTTTAACCTACAGTGTACCACTGTTGTTACGTTTATTTTAATGAAAAGCTGTCCTGTATACTTGTGTAACATAACATACGTAACGTACTACGATGTAAGCCACATAAAATCATAGAAAATTAAGAATAAACGTGATACATGCTCCAGTTACTAGTAAATGAAAGTAGTTTTCACTCATCTAATTAACATATTCGAAGAAAATAAGAATAATGTAAACATGGACCAGCAAGAGAAACGAAAAATAAGTTAAAATTACAACTCCCCAGAGCTTGATAAAGTATCTTTGCACTACTGTGGTTGATTTTGTACTATGTCACATAGTATATCCAATTACATACTTGTGAAGTCACCACATAACACTTCCTAAAGAAATTATTGAACGTTGTATCGCTGTAAAACCCCAACTACACAATGATAGTTGACAAATCGTACTGAGTATAGAGATAGTTTATGAATATTTCTGAATATGTGTGTCTTTATTTGCGACAACTAAATTTTAGCCTTGCATTTGCAATACGTCAAGTATTATTCTCATCACTTACTTTCTATGTTATATTATCTTCAAACTAATGCATAACTATTCAAGACGTAGGTCAGCAGAACGATTATTTGATATTTGTCAATACTATATTCGTAATTATTTATGAATATGTAATATGACTTAATAACTCTGTTAGTGTAAGTATTCTCCTAATTAGGCAATGCCTGATACTTTGACACAAAAATATCTTGTAATTCTTCCCATCTCTTAATCTTCACGATTTGGTAAATATTATCTAAATCATATTAATAAATATTAACTAAATCAAATTTATCTCTGGAACACTACTTTATACTGGAAAAATAATTGTACACATTTAGTGTTTCATCACAATCTTAAAATATTCATCCATCTAAATCCTTCATTTTCAAATATCAACGACTGTTTATGACTGTTAATGGTATTTTTAGTTTTTGAGTTAATTCCAATAAATTTTCAGTTATGCTTTAGACTTATCCTTTTCTTCTTTACAAGGCAATTGATACACTGAAGTCGTTTGAAAGAAAAGATACACGTGTTGCGTGTAGTGCTGCTACAAATTTATCATTTCTATACTTTCTTGAAGGTGATTTATTACAAGCTGAAAAGTATGCAGATCAAGCTTTATCTGTTGATCGATATAATCCTGCAGGCAAGTGATTTATGATATTGTTACATTTTCTTTTTAATTAACACTAATCGTTGTATCAAACACAACATTACTTGATTGTAATGCATCCATTCAATACTACTGTTTTTTATCACTAATCTTTAAGCATGGTTTTACATTTATTTACAAAGCGTTTTGATGGTAGAAAATAATTTTTCACCATTTATGCTCAAAATTTCAAACCACTTCATCCATTCAAAAGAAATAGAAATACCTAGAGTTTGTCACAAGAAATTCGCTTTATTTGATTAACTTATTGAACTGTGTCATTGTAATTTGAAATAATCCATTGTATAGAATACGTAGTTTAATAGAACGCTATGTGACAACCTATTAGGTTAACAAAAATGTTTGATTGCCATCAGTTAGGAAGTTTTTCTCTTTTAATGTTTGTGCATTACACCGTTGTTTGTTACAGTCTACTTTTAAATCTATTTAATATATATGTGATTGGACCATGATAGTTCTGAGAAATAGTTAAAATTCAGTATAAAAAACTCACAATTTTATTTATCAAAGATATTGAGTTGGGTATTTTCAGAATATGAAGTTTTCATCAACCCCAATTCATCTCCAATATTCTTGTAAGATAACTCAAACCGAAATAGATTAAAAGAATTATCAGCATTCATATTAAAATTATCAAATACTTTAAAAATGGAAAACTGGGAAAATTAAAAAAATAACATAAATTTACAACAAATACAATTTATCATTTCATATCATGAAGATGTAGGATAATCATGAGAAATATAATCAAAAAACTAGCTTAACAACTAGAGTTTTTAATCTAAAAATAATACAGTAAACTCATAACACCATGATGTGGGTTACTTATATCCACACAAGTAGTATATAACGATGGTCGGGCAGTGAATGTATTTCAGTAGAAGATCGATAAGGAAACAACGAGAACGAAGCGCAGTTGGTATGAAAATGTATGAACAATAATAATCGGAGACGATGAACTGATATTTACAGAGGGAACGGCCAAGATTGAGTCAATTGATTGATAATTTGCAAACTAACTGTTTACTATATGGTTGTCAGATTTTAGTGAGATAGTCTGTAATTTGATGCTCAAATTCATTCGATTGTCCCCAATCGTGTTCTTGTTCACTACAACACTACTGTTACATAAATAAACTAATAAAGAGTTACAATGTTCATTAAGAATAGCTATATGTCTACTAAGTCAATAATATTGACTGTTATTTTAAAACACATGCAAGCGAAAATGAATCAAAATCCATGACATTGATACTTATCTACTATAGTATACAAACAGTCATTAAAGTATCATGGTCAAAATGCTAAACACTTGATATATAAATCACACAACAACAATAAAAGGCAGTCGTTTACTGGAAATCTTAGTCATTACGAAGCTTCTTTAAAATATTTTAGATTGCATACTAACATAAAATAAATAACAGATAATTCGCTAAGCTGTCATCTTTGACAAAGTTATCATTCATTCACACAAGGATGATTTTCTATGCCACCTTTTTGATTCACCATGAAAAAAAGCGTTTATTAAAGTCCCTTTTAAATTTACTTATTTTAAACTGTAGGAAACGTATGAGCACATTTTACTAATTCGGAAGATTACGAATATAGATAATAGTGAATTATTCAATGCAAGAAGTTTCAAAAACCTTTTCTTCATTGTTCAGATTGGTGCTTCGTCCAGGGTTTTGATTAGCTGTAGAAAAATTAGGAAAAAACATTTCATACACATAATTCCCTTTATCATTTTGATGAGAAAGAAAATTTTGACATATTCTACAGAGTTTTTATAATACTGGAAAAAAGTTATTTTAAATGAAAGGTTTACAATGGTGGTCAATCTTAGATTGACTCGTGAATTCAAATATTGAAAATATTTCTACATATCCTCTTAATAAAAGTAAATGCGTCACTTAATAAGTGATTTAAAAATATTCTACTGGGATTCCATATGATGTTTATATCTGAAGTAGAGCTGCAAACTATATGAAACCAATGAACAACATATTAATCGTGGAAAAAAACCAAAAGAAGTAATTTACTTGAGTAACTTGCGTTAGGTGACCTAGTCTAATGAGTTTGTACACCAGACCTTTATCACACTTCATTGAAACAAATGCTATCAGTGTAAGACTCAGATAAATCTAAGCTGAATAACCCAATTATGTAGTTGGATGGATTTCGTTCAGATAGGTCGAAAATGTAATTTCTTTAATATTACCATGTTTCATTAGTAACTGATCTAGAAGGATATCCAATTGAAAAATAAAAGGCGAAATACAGTAGAAATACAAAGTTTTAGGATTTCTAACAGACTACTGATACATTTTAGGTAGTCGTTTTCTTTGAGTAAAAAAAGGTAGTTTGCAAATTAGACAAAAAAACTAAAAATAAGATGTATAACAGATTAAAAAGTTCATTCTTCACAAACTACAAAAAACCTTAATTTAAAATCTTACATAGTTTCAATTCAAATGATCAGATATTTGAATAAGGGAAAAATAAATATCTTAGCAGAACTAAATGAATTCATTTATCTCATGGACTCCCCTCAGCTGCTTGTAAACTAAAACCATAGTATTGACTATTAAAATCAAACATGTGTATGTACTTTATATCACAAATGTCTAGAGTAAACAGTTGAAATGTAAAGAAAGGTTAATATTAATACACCATAATACGAAAGAATTAGAATTTCAGAAGGAGTTTTCTGGATATTATAGTAATCTTAACAGTTGAGATCATGAATCAATTGAAGCTACACCACCATGGTAAACCTGGGAGCACTGGACGGCCGTTTCGATCTATTTTTGGACTTCTCAGCAGTGCGCATCCAAGATCTCTTCACGAGATTTAAACAGAGGACCTATCAGTCTCGCGCGCCTAACCTCTAGACCACTGAGCCGGCATCCAACGATGTTAGTGTCTAACTTCAATCGATCCACAAAATTGAACGACACATCCACCAATGTCTTCAGTGCGTTAGTATCTCACAACAGATCCTGTTGAACTCCATTAATCACTGCTTCTCAGTAGAACTCCAGGAAATATCTCTTGAAGCCAGTCACTAGTGAGCGTATGGTAAATAGTATCAAAAGCGGTTTTGTGGATCTCAACATGTTTCTCGTATACTGGAAATTTTCTACGGAGCACCCCATCATTAGATCTAAAATAGAGCCTGAACATAACAAAACGTTTCATTTTCTAAATCTTGGTATTCAGTGTAATTCAAATAGCCGGTTAAAAAGATATATTTGTTGAAAGGACACTTTAAGTGAGCTTCACTTGAACTTACATAGATAGAAATGGAATATCCTACAGTTGAGAAAAAGCCTCTTATCTTAAAACTTAACTTCAACGGTGATGGAAGGATTGATTTTAGACTAGGTGCAATATCAAAAAGAACTTATCTAGCGACCGAGTTGGTGTGTCTATATCAAACCTAATGCTCAATGTAACAATCAAATGTGGATGATTACCTACATAATGTTAGCTCCAATTGTGTTTATCAGTTTAAATATACGTGCTTCGGCACACATATCGGGATAACAGAAAGGAGAGGTTGTGCTCATATCTTCAAACATATTCTACAATAATTGAGACTAAAAGGACAGACGGTTTTCAACAGTACAATTGTTCGTCATTTCTTCGATAGTGAGCATAATGTTTAAGTCGCAAAACCGTTCAAAATAATCAAAAACCAAATGAATTCCTAACTATCATGCTTTGTCCAAGCTACTGCAATGAAAAAGTGTAAACAGAATTTATGTGACCAGACAGAAATAGTTGTAAATCTTGTTTTCCCCTGTTGACCATACTTTTGTGAGATAATTACATATGACTTTATTTTTATTCTTCCACAAACTTTAATCAAAATTCTAGTATCTTACTTCTTACTGCTGAGCTTTACTCAATTAGTCTATATTACACAATCTATTTTCTGTTTCCAGAAGGAAACTATTTTGTTCCCATACTGTCCTAGAATAGTCATATATTTAACCTGTAAGTAATCGGATGTTTGAACAATTTTGATTCTTCCGTATTATGGTGTATTAATATTATCTTATCGGCAAGACCATAATTTTTGGACGAACCAATCAATTATAAGATAACAGGTCCCAGATTTTGGCTCGAAATATACTCATAGATTTGGTTAAATAGAGTTTTGGCATTATAGTTAATATCATTTCGTGATAAAAACGTTAAATCTAATTCCTAACCTCAACCATCATCTCTAAATCATAATTCTAATTCCTCACACTGATTTGCGACCCTCATTTTGTCCTAGTTAATAAGTAGACACTCTCAAGGTCACTCTAGCACCGCTCAAAGGTCGTCCATAATTTATAGCCTCACCGCATACCTTTTTAAAGTTTCTTAAGTTTCAATGTTAGAAATAATCCTTCAAATTTTCTCGTTTTATGTACAAAGTTTCGAAGTAAAACTCTTTTTTCTTTCTATCTTCCATTTTATGTTTGTGATTTAATGTTGAACTTTACGGAACTAAGAAGCTATTATGAATTTAGTGTCTAAGCATTCATTTACAAGATAAATCAATAATTCGAATGTAATAGGCTAATAATTCTGTTAAAACCCTGCTTACCTATTTCTGACAGAAAGTATCACGAGTTTCAAAACCGAGTATTTTTTATGGGATCATATTCACCCTACTTCATTTATCAGTAACTAAGTAAGATGAAGCTTATTTTTGAAAAAGTAATTTAATTACATACTGAATATAATCTATCAACATCTTTGTATATTTATCAAGCTATCATACGAACAAATACTGATATTCTAATTTTAAGGTTTTAAATAACTTTTTATAATGTCTTGTACATAAATAAACATATTAATACCATCCACAATGGTACCTAATCCAGTCACAAGGATTTTACTGTTAAAGATTCTTATGCAACCAATATAGATTTCCGATGATTAATAGTAACTTCTCTGATAAATTAAATACTTCGTGACCATTAAATATAATGAACAATTAGATTTCAGTAGAAAATCGTCAAAACATAACGTTTATGTATTACGGTTGTTCATAGTATTTCATATTATAGGTTTCGAAAGTGACAATATATATATATATATATATATATATATATATATATATTACTTACACCTGTTACCCCTCGTCGAGGAGCATAGGCTGCTCACCAACATTCTCCATCCAACTCTGTCCTGAGCCTTCCTTTCCAGTTCTTTCCAGTTGCTATTCATCCTTTTCATATCTGCTTCTATTTCCCGGCGTAGTGTGTTCTTTGGCCTTCCCCTTTTCCGCTTCCCTTCAAGATTCCAAGTTAGGGATTGAGTCGTGATGCACATTGGTGATTTCCTTAATGTATGTCCGATCCACTTCCAACGTCTTTTCCTAATTTCCTCTTCAGCTTCCAGCTGCTTTGTATATATATTGGCTTTTATATATAAATTGGCTTATATATATATATATATCATGTTTTTCTATTTGTTTATTGATTGTATCGCAGTAACTCGATATCATGTGCACTGTGTTTAGATGTTAGGTGGTCAGAGTCAGTCTTATGTTCCATGCTAATTGACACTCATCAGAATGGAATAAATAGTTCAGTTCTATAGGAAGTAAGTCGCTTCCCTAATAGCTAACTGGTAACGCCTTAGTATATGATACTGGATAAAAATTGTTCGTATATCAAAGGGAATATCGATTCTCTCCAAGATTTCAAGTACCCTTGCTGACAATTGCTAACGAGATCATAACCCTGGTCCAAGGTTTTCAGCCGACTATATCCAACTACCTAACATATTCAACATAAATATCTCCGCTTAATGCATGGCAGTTAATAAACAGAGCATTACCAGTTTTCAATAAGAATTTTATCAAGTTATGCACTTTCTATTACCTGACACTTTTTTATTAATTTAGCGCTTGTTAACAAAGGCAACGTTTTGTATCAACAACAACAATACGAAAGAGCTCGTGATTGTTACGCGGAAGCATTGCAAGATGATACACATTGTGTAGAAGCCTTATATAATCTTGGTTTAGTATGCAAACAATTAGAAAGATATGAAGAAGCTCTCGAAGCCTTTTTCAAACTACATTCTGTTCTGAGAAATAGTGCACCAGTAGTTTATCAGCTAATGGATATCTATGAGAAATTGGGAGATTCTACTCAAGCACAGGAATGGTAGATATAAAAACATTTTTATCTTGTATGTTAATTTAAATCCTAGAAATCACTTATGGAACACTTTATATGTCACTGACCATATTCATGCGGTTTGAATGAAATAACTAAATAGTTAGTTAATGACTTTCTTGTCAACACTACCTAGAAACTAGTTTAACTATAGTTTCAAGGACATTTCTAGAAGAAATCACACCAGTTACTATTCCTTATCCAAAAGACATAATAAACAGTTAGCTTCAGTGTATTAAGTATTATCAAGTAGTTTTATTATAGGTCTGTATTACAGTAAAACTCTATATTGCGTTATATTGACGTGAAAAGTCCTACAGCTTTATATATGATAACAGTGTATTAAGTGATAAGTCCACTCTAAGTGATCGTATATATACACAGAATGGAATTGTTACCATCCGCCTAATGGAGTGTCGCAAAGGTTAGTTGGCTGGAAACAACTGGTGTGTCTTCCTGCTGCTAAAAATAGTCCACAGTATAAGGAAAAGCAGTTAACATAATTTTATTACCGCTATAGCTTAAATAGTGACAAGATTTACTTCTCAATAATCAATTAATGTAAATTGTGATGGATAAAATATTCTTAAATTAATTAAATTAGCATACAACCGAATGTAGTTTAGGACAAGTTTGTGAACAAGTGGTTTAAAACCAAATTCAGATGAAATAACGTTTTTGATGCATTGATTATAATTCAGCTAAGAATATAAATAACCAGTAATTCAAATAGTTTTTAACGAGTATAAGCAGAGATGTATAGTAGTTAGCAGTGGAATCCAGAACGCGCATTTCGTCCTATTTTTTACTCGTCAGCTGGATATACCTGCATCTCAGAGTTGATGTTCATTTATCCTCTTAGCTACTGAGTCCTGATAGCCGCTTGCTTGTGCGATTGGGTGAAATTTAAATTCATTTAGAAGATTCAAACAAACAATACCAAATGAAGTTTTTAGCTATTTTTGAATGTTTCCCTAAATACACTGGAATAGATTTTCTTAAACAGGTATTATAAATTTGTTTTTGGAATTAGTGTATCTTGATAGAACATAATGACCATTCTCAAATGGCTATTCTCAAATCTCTCTAATTATACTGAACTTAGATGAACTGTTAATTTACTTATTGATTATCTTCTCCTTTAGTAAACAAAATTATTTTACAAACTATAATTTAATATAATGAGAAATATTATTGATCTCATCTTCTAAATATATATAGATTATAATAAGTAGTATCTGGTACACAAACCATTTAACCACTTTATTTTTGTGATGGTATTGATTAAAAATTCAATGAACTTCCAGTCTGTAGTTTCTCTTGGATACTAAAAAAATATAATATTTTGTTGTTGTTTTTTGTGGTTTTACGGACAAGTTAATTTGACAAACTTTTACTATTAATAGACCATTAGGATTATGGAGTAAGTAATATACAGAGTAAAACTTGATAACAATAAGAAATTTATGACTAAAATATAAAAAAACATTAAGTATTTAATAAATAATAACATATTAGATTTACCATGGAGACGAAACCAAATTATAATAATGAATAAATAAAATAGTAATTTTTAGTATAAATTAAATTACTACAATGGACTGTTGGTAATAGACATAGCATACGAATGGATTATCAGTTTTTATAGTCTCTCTGTTAAGTTTATCTTCTTTGATTCGGATGTTCATGAAGCATAAAATTTCCGTTTTATTTAGTTTCACTGGGGCCAATGAAACAATTAGAACATTTATTAATGTAGTTTTCTGTGGAGATTGTATAGCTTTATAGTTTAAATCACGAAGTGATCTTAACTAGACCACCACTAACGACCAGGAAGCATTGGACAGTTGTTTCATCCCAGTTTGAGACTCTTCAACAGTGCGTATCAACGACCGTAAAAATGGGAATCTTTTCTATCGCACGAACGTGTAACCTGTAGACTTCGAGGTTGTGATTTATTAGTCTACAAGTTTAACTTCAAAAAATATACGGTTTTTTATGACCATCTCCCATTACCTTTCGTGGATACCTTTCTCACGCTCAACATACGTTAGCTCCACTGGTTATCCCTTATCACCAGAACTTCAGTAAATTGCATTTCTTAGCTAGTCATTGATGAATATGTAATTGTTATCAGTATATAGTTCTATTCCCTGTGGTGGGATTGCGAATGAACATTGCTAAGAAGTCTCATGCTATGGTGAAACCGATGTTCAATTCTTTCAAGTTTCCAGTAGCGGTGTGGTGTGATCTACTTATATCCATATAAGTAGTATATGGTGTGGGTCAGGCATAGAATGTATTTTGGCAGAAGACCGATGAGGAAAGAACTGAAATGAAGCGCAATCGTTTGGAAAATGCATGAACAATGGAATTATTGAAGAAACAGTGAAGATTGAAACAATTGATTGTTAATTTGCAAATTGACTGTTCATTCTTTGGTAATCAGAATTTACTGAGATAGTCTGTAATCTTTGCTTAAATACATTCGATTGTCCCCAAGTCGTGTTCTGTTCACTACATTTGGTGTCGCTGCCAACCAGGAGGAGGAAGGGTGCTGTTCTGTGGACGCCGCTGCGGGTCTGGAGTGGAGGTGCTAGTTGGGGCAGTCTGGTGGGGAGAGTTGGAGTCGAGTGGAGTGTTCTGGCGGGAGGCGTTGGCTGTAGCAGGTGCTGTCGACGGAGAGGAGCAGTGGGACGTGCGGCTGCTGGGCGGACATCGGATGTAGATGGCTCAGCAGGCCGGTGGAGTACGGGTGTTGAACGTCCCAGGTGCCGGGTGGATGCGGATGTTGGTGCCCCGGCAGGTCGACGGAGCTATGGAGTTCAGCGCGCCGCAGACTCGACATTCTGACGGAGAGTTTGGCACAGACTGCAGTGGAAGAAGATAGTGGCACGGCGAGCAGAACCACCGCATGAACGAATGCTTTAAAGGGGGGACGAGTGTGGTGTGATCTACTTATATCCATATAAGTAGTATATGGTGTGGGTCAGGCATAGAATGTATTTTGGCAGAAGACCGATGAGGAAAGAACTGAAATGAAGCGCAATCGTTTGGAAAATGCATGAACAATGGAATTATTGAAGAAACAGTGAAGATTGAAACAATTGATTGTTAATTTGCAAATTGACTGTTCATTCTTTGGTAATCAGAATTTACTGAGATAGTCTGTAATCTTTGCTTAAATACATTCGATTGTCCCCAACTAGTGTTCTGTTCACTACAGCGGTTCAGCCGAGATCCATTTGTGATGTAAATTATGGAAATTAGAACAATTTGTGCATTCTAATATATTTGATTTACAAAATAAAGAATAGCTTTAAGAAATATGATCTGATTTGATGTTGTTTCAATGAAATATTTGCTTTAAAAAGAAAAATATAACGTAGGATTCATATGTTAATACTTTGTTGACAATAAATAAATCAATATTTTATTCATAATGATTATAGGGCAATGCAGTTACATGGTATGGTTCCAACTGATCCTTTTCTACTACAAAGATTAGGTGATAGTTATGAACAGGAAGGAGATAAATCTCAAGCATTTTCTTATTATTATGATGTAAGTCAGTTGGTAAAAACTGATGAAATGATATCAATGTAGCTATGTTCTTTTGTAAATGTAAAGACTTTTACATGATCTTTCTCAAACATAATTTCCTATTTTCATGTTCCTTTCGTTTGATTAGGTTTTATTGAAAATGTAATGAGCATTTTAAAAGTTATTTTTTTATAATGTGTTAGGTGGTAACAATTAACCTTACAAATCTCTGCTATTAATTAGCATGTTCTGTTTGAATACATCCTCTGTTTGAGATTTAAATCTTATAAAACTCATACGATATGTTATAGCCAATAACTTAATATTGAACACAGTGAACTCAAATTTTATGTTACTTAGTTTTATACCAGTTTTCTCACTGAAACCTTTACAACTTTTGATATCAATAACTAAAAGACCGCTGACTGGTACATATCAAAATGTATCTTATAATTCAATTTCGGATTTTTAAAAATGTCTGCACTTTGATGGCATGACTACTTCCTTTCTTAATATTTCGTACATAGTTTAATTGACTTTGGTTAACTAGTTGTACATATATGTAAATATAGTGTATGCACTAATGCTAAAGATTTTTAAATCCAATTTACTGTAGTGTAAGTAATATCCTTTAATGAGTGTCGGTCTGATAGCTTTCATAAACATGACAACAATAATATTATTGATTATTTAGTAGGTAGAAAGAACTATTTCTAAAAACTTATGAAGTATGAACTCCATGTCACATGCACATATACAAATAAATTCAAATAACGAATGTCATTTGTTTGTTAATAAACAGTTTTTGTACTATGAAATCATACCCAGAGTAAAAGAAAAATGACACCTTAGAAATTAAATTGTATGTTAAATGTTAATGAAAGACAGCTTCTAATGGTTTATAACAACGATGTGAATTAAATCCATTCTTTATTTCCAATTCCCTGAAGATGACCAAGTGATAGAAATCGGAATTTATGAACTTAAGCGATTGACTGACGTAGTACTGAAAGCCTATTATTCATGAGATAACAAAACATATTAAGTAATTTTATTGAGATCTCAATGTTGTATTATTTATTACTAAATTAATAATTTAAGATTTATGTTATCTACTTATAAATCTACATTATGCTTTAATTTCAGTCATTTAAATATTATCCATGTAATTTTGACGTAATTGAATGGTTGGGCGCATATTATATTGAATCACAGTTCTGTGAAAAAGCTATAGCTTATTTTGAACGCGCTAGTTTAATGCAGTAAGTTGACTGCTATCGTTTATATCTTTTGTTTTGTGAACAAGAATAAATAATAATTCAATTATATGAACTTTTTAAAACTTATAGCAATTTGTCTCACCAGAAAATCATCGAGAAAAATCGTTAAACATTCAGTGAAAAAATTTAATATTACTACAATAAGTACCAAATTGCAGTCAGCAGCGATATTCAGCTAAACCTAAATTACGAATACTACCTATCATTTTGTTAAAACAATGTGACCCTAACTAAATAAAATTGAAGAGTATTACTTTCATGTTGTGAAAAACTACCTATATGGAATAGTCTTGAGTGGTCGAAGCAAACTGAAGGACTTTGCTAAGAAAAATTTCGGGTCAGTCGATAGCGCGTGAGAAAATTTACAGTATTACCATAACCTGAATGTTTAAACTAATTTTCTAGGAGAAAAGAAGTTTCTACCTAGGCTACTTAACCAGTGTTAGTAATCATATTACTTAAATATAATGCTGAGCTATCTAATGCAATAACTAGACTGTTTATCGATTCCACTTACTTTTCAACAGCGTTCAAAGCCAAAATGTACCATTTATTACCTTACGTTAATTGATTTAATTAAGACATAACGTACAAGTTGTTAACATTTTTAATTCGAATGTCTATATTGTAATTAATTTATGAGAAATAAACAGAAATTAGCCTCGTTATCTGTAAAAACAATATTTTTATACTGTCTCATTTTTTATATAGGCTGATTGGTTTCCAAGCTCTAGTTGTCATTCTAAACACAAATATCAGTACCTACTTCTGTGGAAATAAGTACTAAACTATCCACTGTCGATAAAGCAAGTTGTGATTAATTACCATCGCTTGTTTTGTTATTTTCATCTGTCTATGGATTTCCGTTAGCTATCCTGTCAGGTTGACCTCTGACAGTAATTTCCACATAAATTGGTTATCTGAATTTAAGTCACTGTCTTTTGATTGAAGTTTTATCTAAATACAGTGTTAATGGAAATTCTCTTAGGTTTCAATAACAGAATATTATAATAGAAGGTACATAAGTAATGGAAAAATTCAATAATGAACACCTAATGACATATAAGCTTGAATAAAAACAGTTACATCTTTTATCTCTTTGAATTTTTAAAGTTGTTGGAGGCATTTAACAAAGTATAGTAAGACTGATTTGATTAGATACAAAGACTGTAGGCAGACTTCAATAAAATACATTTTACAGATAGACTGACATCAAACAGATTTTATTTTGAGATAATGTGTTATAATGAAACGATTGGAAACTTTTTTATACAACAAAAATGTAACACATGACTGAAAAATAAAATGTTTCAACTTCGTTAGATATTTAGGATCTTGTATTGTCTTAAATAATGAATTATTGGTCATTTCCAATTTTTTGTAGTTTTCTCAGGATGTTCAATTATAAGACGTCAGGGAATCAAATGAGATCTTATTTGGTTCAAACTTAAATTTTTAATTAATGAGCTCAAAAAGCTTAATACTCCATCTTGAAAAAGTTTTTATAAATTTTTAATTCACCCATTGTAATATCTGACATACCGATGAACAACTCGACTAAGAGAATAAAATATGATTAAACTACTTATTTGAACAAATGGGAGAATAACATGTAAATACCAAAGTAGAAACGAAATTATAATAGAATTGGTCAATCGAAAAAGGACACTTTTAGCGTGAATTCTAACTTAACAATGAAAGCAGAAGTTTTTGGGAGCACAAAAAATCGTCAAAGTTCCTGAAGCTAAGAAAAATTCGCGAATGTAATTTCTGATAGTTTTAAAATTGAGGTGGAAGGTTCACTTACATAGCGTTTACAACTCATTTCATAAGATTATTGCAATGTTAAAAGACTGACGTCTTTTCTAAATCGTTTACTGGATTCAAGAATGGAACTTGGGTCGAATTAAATTGATTATTGTAGATGTATCTGATATACTTAGAACTGACTGTTTTAATAAAATATACTCTTCTTTTCCTTAATCAAATAGAGATAATTTGGAAAAATTACTAAACAAGTTTCCTAATGTTCAATGTCTGTTTCAATAAGATCAACTTGTAGTGATAAAATGTTGAAATCTTTCCAAACTCCCTCATCCATTTTTTTGTCATAACTGCTGTATAGTTTTTGAAAATCTAGTACTTTAAGAAACTTATCTGCTTTTTCGTATTTACTTTTACATAATCAAAGTATTTACATGTTTTTATATCGTAGGCCGAATCAAATCAAATGGCAGTTGATGATTGCTTCATGTCACCGACGAAGTGGAAATTATCAACAGGCTTTAGAAACATACCGTATTATTCACCGACGATTTCCAGAGAATATTGAGTGTAAGAATGATCTCATGTCATATAAGTATCCTACCAATGTGTTTAGATGTGTTCCTAAAAACAACAATTAATATTCTGTTGATGCATAATGTAAAGTCAAATGTAGCAGAATTGATCGATGAAAGCTAGTACATATTAATTTCTCTTCATAATAATTTCAGTAGTGTTCATCGATTAAAACAATAAGCCTTGAAGTTTCATCATTTCCATCAGCTTAAAACCTCCAGTTCAAGTAAAATGTAAAGTTGAATTTTATATTCAACTATCTGTTGTTCATTCACTTCAACATAAAACAAGAAATGTGCTCATCAGTTAACCGACTACTAAATTTTTAAGTCGGAGTTATCAAGAAAAGCTTTTGCTCTACTAAGTTAAAAACTTCACATCATTCTTCTGAGAAACTTGACCTGATTATGTTAACATTCGGGATGTAAAGTATGCTTTGTGAAAACGTTTATACATCATGTAAATAGTTGATTGAATGAGATAAAGTTTACAGACTAGAAAATCGGAAGCCTTCAATCTTCGTTTAAAATTACTGCTAAATATATAGATGAGTATAAACAGCTAAGGTAATTATACTACAGTGATCATGAAATCGAAACATTAATTAAATTTTGTTCAATATATTGTGAGCTATTTAGGGCATACAATTGTAACAACGACACAAATAATTGAATATACTTTTACTCATTGTATTTGTTATTATATACTAGATAAACATGAATATAATTTATAAATTAGATAATCACTTCACAGACAAAAATGTAATGCTCATAAAATTTACTCATAACTTACTTACTTACTTACGCCTGTTAACCCTCGTGTTAGAGCATAGGCCGCCCACCAGTATTCTCCATCCAACTCTGTTCTGGGCAATCCTTTCCAGTTCTTTCCAGTTGTTATTCATCCTTTTCATATCTGCTTCTATTTCCCGACGTAATGTGTTCCTTGGCCTTCTTCTTTTCCGCTTACCTTCAGGATTCCAAGTTAGCGCTTGCCTCGTGATGCAGTTTGGTGATTTCCGTAGTGTATGTCCTATCCACTTCCAACGTCTTTTCCTAATTTCCTCTTCAGCTGGAAACTGGTTTGTCCTCTCCCATAAAACGGTGTTGCTGATAGTATCCGGCCAGTGAATGTTGAGTATTTTGCTCATACGATTTACTCATAAGAAAATAACATATTCTTAATCACCTAATCTACGATAACATTCATTCAAACTTGTCATGACTCCAAGAGTAACTACTTGGATTAAAATCAAATCATCCATATCTAAATAATCAAAGCTTACACCTAAAACTGAAACATCCACCATAAAATCTATAAAGACTGAACTTTGAAAACATTGAACCTAATTTTTGGAAACTCACTATTATCAATTCAACTTAATTAAAACTTCTGTTTTGTTTGATTTTTTAATAGGTCTTCAATTTCTTGTACGATTAAGTTCTGATATGGATTTACCTGAAGCTCAAGATTATATAACCAAATTGAAACGTGCTGAAAAATTGAAACAAGCTAGAGAACAACGTCGACTGTCAACAAGCAACCGTCGAAGCTTTGGTCTAACAAATGCATCTAGAACAACAGGTAGCCGTGAAAATTCCGCCAGTGTTAGCAGTGGAGGTAAATTGAATAAGAAAGCGACGTAGGGTTGTGGAAATTGTTGGGTTTCATTTAAGTCATGAACCAATCTAACTCAGACAACCATTGAAAACCCGAAAGCACTAGACGGTTCGTGATTTCAATGAAACTAAACAATATACACAACCCCATCATGATAATTATCATGCGTTCACTTGTGACCAAATTTTACAGGAAATTTTCGAAGTTCTAGTGAGAAGCCGTGACCACTGGAGCTAATCTGTGCCGGGTGTGAAGAAGGTAACTACTGAAGACAATGAAAAATAGTCATGCAAAATCGTGGATTGAATGAATTTAGATTAATACACCATTGTTTGCCGGCCCAGCAGTTTAGAGGTTAAGCGTTAGTGCGTGAGATCGAAGATCCTGAGTTCGATTCACTGTTGTGAGCTCGTGATTCCAAACGGCTGAGTCACACAGTAGAACGAAACGGCTATCCAATCATTCCATGTTTTCACTGGTTATCTTACTTGGATCTGTTCGTCGTTTCAATGAAAGAACAAAAGCTCTCCCACAAATAATCACTGATTCCTAGTATTGAAATTTTTCTTATCAGCATTCACTCAATGTGCAAATGACATCTACTATATGACAGATTTGCTGTTAAAATGAAATAGAATGTTAAATACTATTGCAATCATTACCACCCATAAAATGAACCAGACCAAACGTTTCATCTGCTCAACTAAATATTTTAGAAATAAAAATTAATATTGATTCATATAGAACCGTAGTCAAGTAAATAATGACAGATTATTATGAATGTGATAAGGCATAATATATGACAAATAAGAATGAGGCTACTGGTTCAAACTAAATAGGGCATCATTTCATAGGGGAGGTGAAACTTTCGACAAAATTACCTTTAATATATCCATCTGCATGATCATTGTTAAAATTTTATATTTTTGTAGGTGAAAGTCGTGAAAGCAGTGCAAATTATGACAATCATTTCAGTGTCCAATCAAAACATACACATTCTAAAAATAATTCTTCTCGTCAAACTGAAGCCCGTAAAGAAACAGGTCTTAGTAAAGATATAGACAACGAATATATTAAATATAGTGATCCACTGGGACCAAGTGTAGAAAGACCGAGAACAGCAGCACGTACCCGATCGATTCAAGATGATTTTGCGGACGAAGAAGTTGATGAAAACCTATTACCAGATTAATTGTTAATTTTCTGAGGAACCAGATAAGTCATATATAGTTTTAATATTATAGTTTACTCTCTCACTATCAAGTGATTTTGTATATGTTCTTCTGTAATAAATTATTTCTCAATACACTGTAAGCAGTAGATATTCATCTAAATAATAGATTAAACCAATCCTTACATTATAACTGGTGTTTCTCATACATTACATAGAATATTTATATATTTGTAAGCTTTCAAAATCACAATGAATGGTTAGAAGGCTTACAAATTCATTTGACGCAATTTTTCTGTCATTATCCTTTTTGTTTTAGTTATCGCGTGAAAATCTCTTATCAGTATTGAAACAAGTAAGCACAGAAGCATTGAAAGTATATAGACGGCATTCGGAAAAGATGCTAGCTAACTTTCATATTGGTGGTCTATTCACAGGATATAAAAGTAACTAATGTTCGTGTAGGAAACATGAAAATCCTACCGAATTAAATGTAGTAAGGAACCTTCCTGAAGCACCAGTGGTTTAAAACAATTATCTTAGACGAACATAACAATAAAATTCCAGTTGCTTCAAGATATGCCGATTAGTGAGGTTCAATGCTGCGTTAAAGTGGAGTTCATGTATTACTTCCTATGTGATTGTTTATCAGACAGATGATGAGATAATATAAATAGTAGTTTTTCTAAATGACTATGCTTTTGGTTAGCCAAAACATCTTGGATAACTACATTATACTATATGTTAAGAACATATCTATAACCTAATTAAGCTTAATTGCTTTTTGGATCCCAATCCAATGACAACGTTCAAATAGAGTAACAAGAGCTATAAATTACAAGTGAAACTATGCATAAAACCTCTGTAAATTATGTCATTAACCGAAAATGTCAAGCGTAAAACAGTTACTCAACTTCCTTCAAATTATCATGCTTAAGTCTTAGTCTAAAAATATCTCACAACTGAATGAATACTGTTATTTTATATCTGCGTAAAGTTATATTTCTATTGTGAGGATTGGTGTCATTACATAAATTTATTTGAAACTTCAGTTTTATGGGATTGCATAAACTCACTAGTATATAAATAAGTGAATGGGTGATTTATAATACAAGTGAATGCGTTGATAAAGTTTGCATTGTTTCTAAATAATTAATGAAATTTATTAGTCTGTCTATAGGTTCTTTTGGCTTAAAGTTGGAAAATATCTAATAAAGGTATTCATCCATATGACCGCACAGCATCCTTGCTTGGGAATCTATACATAGTTTTGTAAATGCAGTTTGATACACAAACGATGCACTCACAAAACTTATCTTTCTCTTCCTGTTATACTTTTGTCTAGATATAACAAAACCCATTTCAACAACTTTCCCGACATCAGCAAAATATAATTGTAGTCGTCTTGTATGGCTCGAACATATTTGTTAAAGCAGTTTCACTTGTAACTCTCATTTTCGTTATCTTATGCATTGCCATGAACAGCAGTTATCTCGATGTTAAGTTTGAGGCCTCATTCAGCTAACGAATCACACGTTTGATCACCCTAGTCACTAATTTGTTATCAGTAAACTGAACGACCATGATAAAAAAAGATACTATCAGAAGCTCTAAACAAGATCGTTTCCTGTCAGTTTACTCATTAGTTTTACATTTTAAGTCAATCAGTCCTTGTTAACATATGACTTTACACAAATATCTGTTTTGACTGAGATCATGAATAGAATAATGTTAGAAAACCTGGAAGCACTGGACATCCGAACTGTCTTAATATAGGACTTCTCAGCAGTGTCCAAGATTTCGCACTCAGGACTCGAACCCAGAGCCTTCGATCTCGCGCGCGAACGCTTAACCTCTAAACTATTGAGGCGGTATCCAACGTTGTAGATGCGCACTACTAGTCGATGAATAATTACTCCACGTCCAATATTACCATAGCTTACTCAATGGACTCATCACATCTGAGTAATACTTCAAAGACATCTGCAGTCAAATGCCAGTAACCTGTTATGTTTGAAGCGATTACGAATTCCCTAATCTGAGAACGAACAAAGACTCTGTGACCTAAGATCAATAAGCAAGCTATTTTGACGCATCCCAGCCTCGCTTACTAGAGTGAGAAGTCCAAGTCCGAAGTGGGGAAATATATTCCGCAAGCGGCCAGAAGCACAAGCTATCACAACACGCACAAATCAAACATATATATACAGCATAAAATTGTCATTGGGAAGATAGGTATCTCTCTTATGTCACGAGTGAGCACACTGGTAGAAACTGAGAGCTTTGGGAATCGTGTCAGACACAAACAAACGACGGCTAATAAGACTGAAGTAAGCTGGCGTGCGCCATGCCGCTTCACTCTATCGTTAGTGTAAGGACTGACCTAGACCAGTGCTGAATCAACATTCTGCTTTTGGATGGAAACAAATACTGAACATGATTCCACTGTCACGCAAGTTCAGAAGATTGGATAATGTCAGTATCTTCCACGAATAGGACTGTCACCTGGATATTCTTAGCCATTAAGTGAACCTGATAAAATACTAACCTCTGAAATTTACGATTTCTGGGGCGGGAGATCATTTATAAAGAAATAAAATACGAAGAGTAGTGGTATACAAACTTGGAGGAGACCACCCGAGGTCGTCAATTTAGATTACAATTCGCCCTAAGCGCTGATTCAACCAGAAGCTTCTTAGTAAAGCGCCTTAAGTCAGGATACTTAACTACAGCTGAACGTGACTTGAGTATGCTAAGACGTGAAAGTGTGAATATTGGATTGATACATCCGGATCCCAATTTAAATTCAATCTGAGTTTTCCTAGTTTGTTGTTTTCGAGATCTAGATAATGATAGAGCGACTATTGAGGCTGACATACTGGATGCTAAACAAAACAAACTGATTCCTTTGAGGAAAGATTTGTCATTTCTTCTAAACTATCGGTCAGTGAACATGGCCAGTCAGACGGGACTATCCCCAAGCTCCTAAACTCTATCTAGTATTTTGATCAACCTAGCTGCTAAAACTGGACCACCATGACTAAATACCTTTCGAGTTGATCTATTAGGTTCAGGTGATTCCCATTCCAGCAAGATGGATATGAGTTGGAGAAATTGTAATGATTTCCCAATCAGGTTGTTGGGAAGAGGTGAGTATTTAAAGGTCAACTAAACTATTGCCTAGGATTCTGCCCATTTGTTTAATCTCCTAAACCTAATGGAAAATATTTCGGCCTTTTTCAGAAATACATCAGCTGACGGCTGGCTTTCCAATGCATGTTTCTGTGATGTGTCGTAATAGTTATCTAGTACTGTCTATGTATTTCCCGTATATTTTACTTTTATTGTCCACCATTGATCATGATCATTTTGTAGTGTTTTTATTAGTCCATGTTTGAGTTGTCGTCAATCTTCGTCGTTTTCCGAGCATAACAAGATGAATTTTAGAGTAGTTAAGAATTTGATAGGAACTTCAGGAATTTAATGGTCCTTCCTAAACTTTTGACTCAAGTTGATGACAGATATCGCTGTAGTGCTTACAGATGTTTGGATATCATGACAACCACATCAAAATGAACTTTTCTCCATGAGCAACTAAGTGTTTTATCGTGTTCTCTTTGAATTTCTTTTGATCTTTATTTTTTCTAAAGAGAATTCGCATTGTAACTTCCAGTAAAACGTATAAAAATACATGGTCTCACTAGAGCATAGTCGAATCTCAAACAATTGCTGCAGAGCGAACGGCATAATTCTGTAAAATCTCCCCCAACAATGACTGGTGGTTATATACTCTAATTCTATCCATAGTCGTTTTGATGTTAAGAGTCTCTAGGCTATGTAGCTCTCTTCTTATAATCAAAGTTGATACTTGTTATGAATGAACAGTGATCCAAACATTATTAGAACGAACAATAACCATTATCTGTTCTCTGGGTTGAAATATCAAAAGATTCATCCGTGTCTTTTAATTCGACTTTCCCTCTCTACTTAAGGATTACATTCATTTTTTACGAGTAGAAGTGGTCCTAATGACCCGGAAGGATAACTCCAGAGGCCAAAAGATAATTGCTTGAAAGTGGTTCATAACAGTCTTCGCATGAGTTGTTGGTTTGTTAGCACTGTACTTTTCAAGCCTTATTACCGACTACAAGACCAAAAAATTATTCTACTTGAAAAATCACTTAGTATCCATTCAGATACCTCCTATTATTCCACCAAAATTTATTCGTCAGATCAAAAATATAACAACATAAAGACAAAATACGTAAAAAAGAAAGAGGATATACAACAATAAGTCACGGTACATAAATGATAAAAACAAAAAAAGTTAAGAACTATCACTAATTATTAAACTAATTAAACTCGTCCATCCTGAAAACGGATGACCACGTTGACCATTTCCAGTCTGATCATTATACTGTTCCCATAAATGACCTGTTCGTTCAAGTTCACCTAATACGGTACGTGCTAAATTTTGCGTCAGTTGTTCAGCTAACCGTTTAGCCTCTGCAGCGACAGGTACAGGTGTACGCGAATGGTGGGCGTAATAACGTAGTGACTGTACGGCCAAATAATTTATATTTATCCATATAGCACCTCGCCAGTAGGGTGGGTCATCTTTGGTATTGTGTGTATGATAAAAAGGAGACTTAAGATTGATTGAACGCAAGCCGAACTCAGACCACAGTAATTCCTTATTACTCAGGTCAGCTAACAAACGAGGAAGTCGTGGTGATGTAGGCGAAAGAACTTTCAAAATAAATGGGAATAAATTTACATATCCAAACGAAGTGTCCACTAACTGCAGTGATGGGGTTTTCACAGCTACTCGTACCAATTTCATCTGTTATGGTAAAAAGCCAAAGTGAAATTAAAGAAATAATAACAAAATATATAATATTGAATGCTTTAATCACAATAGTTATTTTCATTGAGTGACTTCCTTCCTCTTATTACTATATGAGCTCACGACATTACAGTAACAGATCTCATCATCAGTGAGTCTCTGTACTTAACAATGATATTAACTACACTATCGCCATATAAAATTAAATATTAGTGAACTAAAAAAAATAATAAAATCCCTTAACCACCAAAACCAAAATAGTTCAGGTAGCTTTGAACATGTTTTTTGTACGAGAATAAAAGCTACACGTATCGTTTGAAGTTAAAACTTCGGTAGATAGTGTTGGATTCCATATAGTAGTCCAGTAATTAAGTTTTTGAGGCCAAAATGTTACTTACAGAGTGCAGAGTAATAGTCAGCCAGCTACAACGTAGGACCAGGCACACATATGCATCGGTCCAAGTTGCCATATCTCGTTAGCACAACAAGATGAACACCGGATTCATAGAAATAGTTAATTTAGTGATGGTAGTATATAAAAGATAGGTTGTATATAAGGATATAGTATAGGAAGGAAGAACGTTATGAAGCAATTTTAATCTTAAGGTTTAAAGGAAGATAAAGTGTGTATACACCTACACCATTGTGATCGATTCTGAGCCATATCACACAGAGTCTCCAACCATTGGTTACGATAGTCACGCGGACCCCAACCAGGTAGTCTGCATCTGCCAACATGGTTCAGACTAGAAGTTAGTGACTTCAAGCACTGATGCCACGTTTTGGTTTGGCCGCCCCTAACTCTCTTCCAACCATCCCCTACACTAGTCAGTATAGCGCGTCGTGGTAATCGGTGTTCAGGCATACGTAACAAGTGGCCTAACCATCTCAGTCGATGAAGATTCATGACCTCATCGACTGACTTACCATCATTTCCTAACACCCTGCGTCGAACCTCACTATTACTTACCAGGTGATCCCAGCAGATGCGTGCAATATTTCTAAGGCATCTGTGGTCAAATACTAGTAACTTACGAGTATCTTCTACTCTAGATGACCACGTTTCGCAGCCGTAAAGTAAAACAGAGTGAACTACTGTCCAGTATACTCGTTCCTTAGTTGACAGACGGATATCTTGTCTTCTCCATAGGTGACGTAAGTTGGCAAAAGTCAAACGAGCTTTTTGAATCCGTGTGGAGATTTCCTCGGACACCAACCCATTAGGGCTGATCAGACTTCCAAGATAAGTGAAGTTTTCGACACGTTCGACTACTTCGCTCCCTATCCTTAGTTCAGGTGTTGACGCAGGCCAGTCCTGGAGTAACAATTTACATTTGGATGGGGAGGAACGCATACCAAACATCCTGGCATTATTACTCAGTTCTAACAAGAGACTCTGCATTTTGCCAGCGTCTTCACCAAACAAGGCTATGTCATCTGCGTATTCTAAGTCGCTTAGTGGAGCCCCTGGTAGGAGATCAATTCCTGAAAATTCAGTCGACGAGAGTGTTATTTCGAGCAACAGGTCTATAATGAAGTTAAACAAAAATGGGGATAGTGGACAGCCTTGTCGGACACTCGAGGTTGTAAAATCAGATGACAGTTCGCCATAAGCTCTCACTCGACTGGTAGTGTTCGAGTAATGAGCCTTCACAAGGTTTATATACTTCTCAGGTACATCTTTCAATGACAGACACTGCCACAGAACCTTTCGGTCTACAGAGTCAAATGTTGCTTTCAAGTCAAGAAAAACTATCATTGTCGGACGCCGATAAACATGTCTGTGCTCTAAAACCTGACGAATAGTGAATATGTGGTCGATGCAGCTACGACCAGGTCTGAAGCCAACCTGATTTTCTCGTGTTTGCAGTTCACAAGTCTCGGGCCACCATATTTAAAGACCTCTGGAGCTAATCCATCTGAACCAGCTGCTCTTCCTCGTTTCAGATTAGTTATAGCCTTTTGAACTTCAGGTAGGGTTGGGGGACCTACTTCGATGTTCCATTCAGGCTGTCTGGGAATAGTGGGTAGTTGTGCAGTAGCTGAAGGCCAGCTGAACTGCTCCTTAAAGTGTTCTGCCCATCGTTCTAAACGTCTGGGCTGAGAGCAGATAAGGGTAATAAGCCAATTGCTATTTAAATAGTAAATCAAATTCTTGCAAGTAAGCCCAAAAAATATAAAATCCATATCCTCTTTGAAGATATCCAAAATTTATTATAAAAATTATGAAAACGGTAAAAAAAATAACACCTTAAAATAAGCGCAGAATATTTTAAATCTATATGAAAAGGAAATATCTACGCATGAAATCACTACCTCATTAGAAACATGTGATCCCTTTGGTATATCAGGCATCTCCAGTCTAACAAAGTCTGTGTGCAGACCATAATCAGCATAGCGGCCCTGCTTTTCTGACCAATGAAGTTTATCCAGTTCACTTTGATCTGATAAGAGATCAGCCCAACGGGTATATTCAACAATCAATGAACGAGTCCCTTCTAACTTTGATCGACTATTTGCATTTTGATCTGTCTGCATAAATTGTGTAACAACAGAAGCCAATTTCGCCATTACACGAGCGAACAAAGTCATCCAACAACGTAAATCAATGTGACGTTCATCATCAGTTGGGTGAGAAGCACGAGGGAAATCATCTAATCCTTGAAACAGAAAACAAATAGTAGAGACTAATCATACATATATAAATACTTTGATATATTGTAGTGAGTAAAGTGATAACTGAACAAAACAGTCATAATACATTTATAACGTTTAGTGAAAATGGATACATTATCGCACAAAATGTTTTAGGTAATAAGCATGCAGTGCAATGAGTTGAATAGTTAGATAACTACCAATACTTCTCAATTTTTAGAAATACTTCACTTTGTACGGTTTAAGCAGTCGAGTGATAGTCAATAACAAACAATGCGGTTCAAAGTTGTGTACATAAACTTTTACTTGGTATATATAAATTTCACTACTGTTATTAAATGTTAAGAAACATTGTCAAGTCTAGGCATACTAAAATGGTTTTAAAAAAAGGATATATTTGATTTAGACTATTATAAGAAACATAAAGTTGGTAGAGTCCTAATTATTTCGTAAAGTCACGAAAATTGTATCCTTTTTTTATTTATAAACTCAATACAAGTACACTAGGTAGGTAGAGATGAATATACAGTCGAAATTCACGTAACAACTAATTGAACTTTAACAAACACACAGTCATATATATTATTGTACAACTTTGAAAATTAACTAGTTGAAAAGAATTACTCCGTTGAAAAAATTATTTTAAGAGATATATATATTATGAAGTGATTTCCTTGATAGCATAAATGAAACTGTATGTTTTCCATGATGTTTATATGAATTACATGCAACAGTAATTCCATAAGACATCAGAATTCTGTTTACAAAGTGTTAATGTACCCGTAAATGAGTCATATTGATTACTATGTTTAGTGAAATAAAAATACCATATAATAGCCATTAGCAAAATTCCTATAGAAATATTAACTATTATCTAAAAATGATTGAAGTGATACTCTCAAGCATTTACCAGAACTCAATGTAAGAGGGTTCAGCTGATGAATTTCATTTGGGTTGCGACCGCGCCAACGATATGACAGAGGGACTGGACCAATCTGAGTAGTATTGAACCACTGATACCAAACATGTAGCCTTGGAAGAATTAACATAGACCAACGACGAAATTCATTAGCTTCAGCGACAGTTAGTCGAGGCAAACGATCTAACAAAGCCTGCATGGATAATACAAAATATATATAATAAATATAATATAATATATATATATATAATATATATATTATATATATATATATATAATATATATAATAAATACAATGTTAAAAAAATTTCAGTAACAAAGAAACTAGAAACATATCAATAGTAAATAGTACATGCAACGATTATCAGGATACTAAGAACAATTGCTGCAGAAAAAAATGTTAGTAATTATGCACATGACTGGTAACAGATCAATGAGAAATATATAAAATTACGAAAAGGAATAAATGAGATACTCCGAAAATAGTTTAGGAAATCCTGACTAATTGGCTAGAAGCATATTCAAAATAAACTGTCTCAACTCGTCACTTTTTGAATGTTATACCAAATAATCTTTACTTGAAACAAGAGACTATAAAATATACACCCATTAACCAAGATTACAGGATGAAAGCTATGGAACATAACCCGACTATTTAAACTTCACCCTCCTCTTCAAACAAAACAGAGTAAAAATTTAAATTGCTGGTTAGACGACATTATTATGATCGATAGAGTGGAACTGGTATACTGAAGACGTAAGACAATTATGAAATACCTTGAAATTACAAATAGCTAAGCAAGGGATGAGATATACCTGATGAATGTCGACTACATTTCTAACCACTGTACCAGTAAGCTTTGTCAGAAAATGGACTTTACCTAAGCGTAAAGAACTATGTTTCCCGTTCCTACATGGGTTATTCTAACTTTCAGATAAAAAAATTTATTCATTCTTCTTGAGTCACATTTTAACCTTGTCAATTATTCGTTTATTAACCTTGACTGTTTTTATGTGAGTGTATGTAAACAAAAATAATATATATGAGCGTATGTGTTAAAAACTTACCCTATTCACGGTGTGTTTGTAACTTACTTTCGTTTGACTATAAATATCGATTCATGCTTGGTTAAACCGAGTTGGTTCACATGCCTTCTCCGATCTCTTTAGCTTTGCTTTTTCCTCTTCGTTTTGCTGCCTCTTATTCTGAATCTCTGTCTGGATAAACGAATGCCTGAATTCCTCCAACGCCACCCGTATTTGGCTTCTTATTACCGCCGTCATATAGACGGGGTTAGCCTAGGTAATATACGGAGTTAAATGGAAGATTTATGTTCATAGCATATTCATACGTTCATCCAAACTGGAGTTAGATCAGCCGGCACCACAAAACGCTCAATGAAGATGCCGCGAAAAAAAACATTTCCAAAGGAATATATTTATTAAGCACGATCACAGTGAAAAAAACGATATTTCAAGTGATTAAGTCAGTTTAAAACCGTGTTTGTTATAAGACTTCCAACAAAGTACTCTTCAGATAGCTGTAGTATTAGATATGAATAAAACAGAGTAGAGCTCTAGATTCTCACATCAGCTATGATCATTACACTCTTGTATAACCACTGGTAAGAAATGACATCATATAAAATTAGGAGCTTGAACAATGCACCATACAACATTCACTTTATAATTACTCATTATCTATAACCACAGTGAATCTAACGCTTCATAACGAAACTTAATTATACTATGACATAACTGCATATTCGCTTCAACTATTAGTGATACAAATTACGTGTGATAAAATATACCGTGATGCAAATTAAAATATGTTCATGGATCTACTAAAAAGTTTAAAAACTTGACAACATACCTCAACAGTCAAAATCAAAGATGGTGGATTGGCAACCTCGGAGGATTGAACAACAAATTCGGATGGAACCTTCGATCTGGCCTCCCAGCCTAAAATCTGTTCACGTGGAATCCAACCATTAGCATTCATAAGATCGAGCCATGAACCGACTGTTTCCATTGCAAGATTTGGATCCCATCGGGCCAATATTAAACCATGAAATCCTTCATCCCATAAAAATCCACGCGGAAAGTTAGGACGAGATGGAGTGGCAGTAAATAAACTAGACGCCCAATTAGATACTGGTTCCGGTCCAATATCAGGCGAACGAACTAACGATGTGCCGTAAAAGAAACCAATACCACCCAGTAAATTGCTGACTGCAATTTTAGATAAGTTGACCTAATCAGATTCAGAGGTAGAAACACAAAACGATCATCCCGATATATATATATATATATATATATATATATATATATATATATATATATATAACGTAGTGAAGAATAATTATTCTGAGAAATCTCATGATAAGAGTTAGAAAAATAACAATTTCATGTAACACATAATAAATGGCGTTAAGATATAGTCACTGAAGTATTGGCTAATCAATGAGTTTATCGACACAGTAAATGTGCAGACGCTCAAATCAATGCCTACGCTAGTACATTTATTGAACAATATGAAGTAAATAATTTAGTGCACAAATTTAATTAGCTTGCTCCATCCACTTTACGAATAAGATCTCTTCCATAGGATTAATATACCACCAGCCTAATCTTGATCGTTTCTATAGCTTTAATGAAGACATTATGGAACAAACATGAGCTGAAAAAGAAAACTGTCACGCCCGAGAGGATTTAATATGCTTTTCATGTTCTGAGTTGCTAAGTATCCGACAAGGTCATTTCTCCTTTACAAACAATTGAAAAATAATTATTACATCGACAGTGAAATAATCAACAATTCAGTAGGAATCCGTCAACATTTGAGAGATCCTTTGGTATTCATACTGAAATTACAATACTGCACTTATATAACTAACCGTTAAAAGTCCAATGTTCCATGTTTCCGATCAATAATTTTATGGTGTGTGCTAATGATGTTGATAGATATAAGTAGTATGTATCATCGGTCGAAAGTGAAATGCCTGGCGGCAGAAGGTTAAGGAAATCAAAGAAATGGGAACAAGAACAGAGAATGACTGGCGTAGAAACGAGGGAACAATGAAGTCTGAGACGATGGATTGACATTTTTCAAATAAAGTATTTACTGTATGGATTTCAGATTCTACTAAGAGATTCAGTAATTTTGTATTCAAATACATTCTGTTGTCCCCACTGGTGTTCTCGTTCACTACAATTTCGGTATCGTGAAACACATCTTTCTTTTTGAAACATAATCCATATTGTTCAACAGATATAAACGATATATGATCAAGATGTGTATACATAAACATAATCAGGTTACTGAATATTTAAACATTATGATTACCAATTCTAAATATCCTTTCGAATCTCTTCTAGTTAATTTTCACAGTGTAAATAACCACAAATTCCACCGAACAAAAATTTCAAATCTGATTTGGTAAATTTTTTACTACAAACGATTTCTTCAGACAGCTTTTATTTGTCAATCTTAGAACTTTCATGGATTTTAGTCAAAACAGATCAATAAAGCATAAAACATAGAAAAATAAGTTTATAAAATGATGTGATCAACTTTCTCAAAACTACAAACCTGTCTATCAGAAAACTTTGTTAAATCCACATTGAATCTTTCAACAAAACGTTTATGGAAACTTATAGACTGTTTAGATAACTCTTCAGAGAAACTATTCCCATGAAAACCTTCAAATGAACTTTGAGATCGGAAGAATTCAACATCCAAAATTGGTTGATTATTTTCATTGGGTTTTGTACTTGTTTCATAAAACCATGCATTTGGAGGTTGGTCTTTATCATGATTGTTTGTGACACCTCTCAATACCAAAAAATTCTTATCTCTTCTAACTCCTAAACCAGTAAACATTGTCTCTTTAATTGCATCTTCCCTAGGTATATAAGCCATGAGAGAACTCTCCTGTAATTTGTGAGGAGTAGGATGAAATGAAATATGAAAATCACTCAATTCCATTGAACTACCTAAATTGTGAGAATAATAGAAATCAAGGATTGAATACACCTACTAGATTCAAAATATCGTATTTATATAGCAGCAATATGTTGATTATGCATAATTTAAAACTGTTTTTAAGCTAGACGATGCTTCTACAACCGACAGTAGTACTACTTTGCTTTTTGAGTACTTGGAATGATTACAGTTAGGCTGATTAGATCGAAGTATATGAAGCGAGGTTCAAACCTACGACCTGGTGGTTGAAAAATGAACGTCTCAATCACTAAGATACTGTACTACTACAATGATAAGACAATTAATCTCAAGAAATGTGGTACAGACTTGTGAAATATCTAATGACCATAGATCTCAGTGTTTACATATTTATTACAATACAGACTGGATTTAGTCAGATTATTTTGAACAGATATTTTTATTTTATTTTAAAAACGATTGCAACAAAATGTGATGTGTATTATTTTATTTAATCTATTTAAACACATACATATTGATACAAAAGGGCACCAGATACATATGTGATGTGTAGCGATTTGTCTACTCATTTAAGGGTTGTTAGTGAGTCAAACAAGTCACTGGATTCGACATACATTTTGCGCAGTTGTCGACTAGTATTATACCAATAATCGTGAAAATACAAGTTATTATTCTAATATCAACGTACATATCTCAAATCGACCACCACACTTCAACTTAAAATCATCTTTTGGTCTACCTGATCATGGCCAGAATAATGTGATGAGACAGGTAATCACTGCACGCCAGTACCATGTCTATCTTTCAGGTAGTGAAGGAGGCTTTGACGTCACCTGAAGTCAAATATTTACAAACTTGGCACGTGTTTAGGTGGTTACACTTTACAGTCATACAGTGAAACGCAGAGACTACTGCGTCATAGTATAAGGCCTAAATAAATATCTGACTATCTCTGTAGGTAGCTTAAACCGATATAGTACTTCCGTCTCCACAGATATTTCTTGGGTAATCAACTGAGAATGGATACGACTGACAAGATAAGTGAAATGTTTGACAGATTTAAACTACTTTACACCGTCACACTAAACAGACCAGTCCCAAAACAATAGTCTACGGTCGAATTGTAAGGATTATATCTCAAGATGTTCATATCCTGTGCCATTGATTTTTGTTTATCACCCTACGTAACACGATCTGTATCATGGAGACTGTTTGTAGTACCCCAAATACTGTATTATTGAAAAATTGTGATCAGTATGAAAATTCGGGAAAGTACTTTCACTTAAGAGGATTTTAAGTTCATATAATTTTAGAAAGAATAATGAATAAACTAACCGTGTAATCCTGTAATTTTCTTATTCGAAATGACTGGTTCTAAGAAGAAGTCATTTTTGTCACCAGGATAATAAAAGTAGACAATTACCGACAATGGATATTCCATAGAAGTCTAACAAATAAAGTAGCAAAAACATTTTATTGAATAACTTAAATTTAGTGTCGACAATTAAGATTCACTACTTATTTAGCTGAGCTTTTTTCCCCTTAAAGAGCATAGGACGCCGACGAGGAATCTTCAACCTACTCTGTCCTGGGCTCTTCTTCCCAACTGTCGCCAAGATCTATATATGGATTTAAAAAGTCACGCAATCCATGTCAGTCAATCAGTCACAACGTAGAACTTCGTACGTACGTACATCAGTTCGAGTTGCCATACCACATTAGCACAGAGATGCAGTTATCGATTCAAATCCTATAGTGGTAGAAGTGGTAAGAGTATAAGCATTATGTGAAAGATTAGGGTTTGAAGATGTTATTGAAGGAGCATAATCCAGTGAAAGAAATTTGGAAAGAGAAAAAGGATAGGGACATGAAGAATTCAAAAAGTTAGAATTTGGGAGAACACAGAGTGGATGCACCTTCGCCATTGCAAACGATTTTGAGCCATGTCATTCAAGGTCTCTAACCATCGGTTGTTATTATCTCGCGAATCCCAACCAGGTAGTCTACACCTACCAACATGGCTCAGTCCAATTGTCAGTGACTTCATGGATTTGTGCCACGTTTTGGTCTGACCGCCCCTAGCTTTCTTCCAACTTACTCCTACACCATGGAACATTGCACGTCGGGGAAGTCGGTGGTTGGGCATACGTAACACGTGTCCCAGCCATCTCAACTGATGAAGTTTCACTACTTCATCAATCGATTTGCCATCCTTACCTAGTACCCGTTTCCTAACAACTGCATTACTTACCCGGTGGTCCCAGGATATACGAGCAATGCTTCGAAGACATCTATGATCGAATACTAGTAGCCTACGAATGTCTTCTACTCTTATCGGCCATGTTTCACTGCCATAAAGTAGCACGGAACGAATTGCTGCACAGTAAACCCGTCCTTTTGTTGCTAGACGGATATCTCGCCTACGCCATAAATGACGCAAGTTGGCGAAAGCTAGACGAGCTTTCTGTATCCGTGCTGAGATTTCGTCACACACCAGACCACAAGGGCTGATGAGACTCCCAAGATAAGTGGAGCGGTGTGTTTGAAATCGTTTCAACGATAAAACACTAAACCGAAACTCTGTGACTTAGTTACGAATGACAACGTCACAATGGGTACGATAATACGTAATTATTAATAAAAAGTATATATATATATATATATATATATATATATATATATATATATATATATCAGAAGATTAAAAGAAGTAGCTGCGGTAATTTACAAGGTTTACAGCGTTTTAGAAAAACCTTTTAAGTCAGGATTCAGTTCTGATCGTTTGACATTGGTGAGAGAGAAGCTTCTTGTTGACGAAATTGACTCAACCCCTAGTTAGATCAAAACACTTAGAACTCATACAACATACCAAAACTAGGATTACTTATCCATTAAACTGACGTTAATACTAATCTTTCTTATGTTACAGTTGCATCTTAAATCTCGTTAATGTTTGGAAATAGCTGTCTTCTTAATTTACTTACGAATATTTGCCTCCATCAATAAGAAAGTTCAAACACTGATGTTCTAAACAGCTCTAAACATGTCTCTATACCGTTACCGAAAATCCGAAAATTATTTTTGGACTTTGACTGTTATAACATTTTGTTGTAAAATCTAAAACCAGTTAAAAGTTTACGTAAAATTGGTAAACTGTCGTAGGATAATCAATATTTCCTTACTGAGTGAAATCAGACATGTGATATACATACCATGAATCCTCTGTGTAACAGGAATGACCTCGCAGGATTCTTAAACCACAGAGAACACTACTCCAATATATATGACCGGTGATCTAAGTCACAAGACCTGGATAATAGCTTTCTAATCACCTTTCCCTATGTGGTGGGTCACTTTCCTAGCTTTATGCACCTTGAATTTCATACAATATCTACCTTTGGTAAAAAATTGTCAACACCCATGCCATTATTTAGGCCACCTATAAACATGTTCGGTAACTTTATTTACAACAGATTAAGTTCTACAGAATAGAATATCAGTGAATCCAATACATTTACACAACCTTTTGTACAAAGAACTTTTAAATTAAATTTTATGAGGTCTGTTAATGCAAATCCATTAAATGGTGAAAACGGATTTTATCAGACGTTAAGATTAAAAATCAGCAGAGAAAAGTTGATAACAGTTTGTTACATCAAAACTCACACGATTCCGCGCAACTGCCGAAATTCTTACTGTCCAGTCACTCCTAATGAAGTCAGAAGACGGTTTTACAAAAGATATCGTGATAATATGATGGGTGTCCACTATTTGTTGTGTTCCAAAAGTACGACCATCGTGTTCCAACCAGTTGTAGCTACAAAAGAACATGAAAAAAGAGATGACAGTATCACATTTCGGTTGCAGAAAATGTATCAAACCATAGACCTTTATACTCAATATATATACATATATATAAGTAGTATGTAACGCCTGTCGGAGGTGGAAAACCTGGCAGCAGAAGGCTATGAATGTTGCTTTAAAGAGAACAGGGACGGAATTAAAAAAGAATTGAGAATCGGAAGAATCACATAGAATGTGAAAGACAAATGATGGAAATTTGCGAATGAAGTAATTAATGTATGGTTCTCATATTTTACCAAGATATTCTGTAATTTTGTATTAAAATACATTTGGTTGTCCCCACTTGTGTTCTCGTTTATTACAAATGCACTTGAGCAACTAAATAATGTGATTCATAATCCACCAAACTGACCTGCATATTGATAATTGAATGTACAACTAGTAATCCTGAAATAAATTCAGTACAGCACAATAAATTCAGATCAGCTTAATGGTGAAATTCTGATACTGAAACACTTATTTATCACCAGCAACATATCATGATGAGGTTTCTCCCTTAAATTATGTTAAAATCTATTCACAATTCACAACGAGATGCATAGAGTATTACAATATTTTCACTAACGATTTAATCTATAATAGCAGCAACCTTCATTAGGCAAATAAAATGGTGCAGATGAATTTTACAGTAAGAACATAACGAATGAATGGTATTTTCATTTTCCATATTTAATCAGTATCAAAAATGTGACTCATGAAGCGAAAAATCAAATGACAATAAATATATCATCTTATGCTAAACCGAAAAATTCTATGATAGTGATATAACTGGGCTGGAAATTATTAGCGAATTCTTTATTGATACAATGTACTTTGATAACTGAAGTGCAAGTAGGTTGAATAAAATTAAGAGTGAAAAAAATCATTTTGTTACCCCTCCATGAGGTGTTAATGAAATAAAGGCGTAGGGTGAGGTGATCGATTCAAAGGCTCGAAAACCAACATAATAGTGTAATTACCAAAATACAAGTCATATCTTTATTGTTTTAGAATTCCTTGAAAGTGATTTATGCAATCTAACACTCGCAACGGGATCTGTTGAGTGGGTACTTCTGAAGCGCCACTTTACAGATAGTGATGAAAAATATCCTACTTTTTCGGACTTCTGACACGATGCAATGGGTTGGTTTGCCATTCATCTGAAATCAGATTAAACATATATCTGCATTTTGGAAGGTCATTTCAGATTACTTACTCTTATCCCTAGTGTTTTACAGAAATACGAGACTAGATATTTTATAGAAATACCATAAAAAGGGTAAATGGTCAGCAAAAAACACAGACTAATATAGTCAAAGGCATGTAAATATAAAATCTCACTACCTATAAAATCTTACCTTAGAACCCCATCGAATTGATCACATGAGTGGCGGTAGGCAAAATTTTCTGGATCTTGGATTGTCCACATAACCCCAAACAAAAGAGAGTTGGGGCTTCTATGTTTCATACCAAAATAAATTCCAGGACGATAACTTCCCCAAAACAAACTATGAGATCGTTCATGCAATGAAGCATCCGATATTACTTTAGGTAGATGAAGTGGAGTAATAACTTGTTTTCCCTGATACCATACCATCACTTGACGAAAGGCAAGCATCATCAAAAAAATTAAGATCCCCAAATATATGAAAGATAAAATGAGCCACTTTGGAACTTTGTTTACAATGTGGAAATCTGTTAGGAATGACCGCTCACGGCCAACACGGCTTCTGGGTTTTGAGTGGCGTGAGCCATCTGACAAGTGTGATATGTGGTTTACTTCGTGTTTAGGATGTTCAGAAACTGAATTGGTAAGCTCCTCAATTCTTTGACTTTGCTTACGTCTCCTTGGACGTGCTTCAATGGACTTACTCTTTGGCATCTTTATTGGGATATACAAAAGACCCAGACCTAAAAGTAGGGAATATCTTAGTAAGGAACAGTTTTAAAAATCATAATTCCAATTGTTTGTAATGTATGGATATATTTAAACTGAGTGAGCCTTTCGACTCGATCAATGAGGTAACCATCTTATCTCAAACGAGGAAGTGTTTACATGGATAATAAACAAAAACGCAATGAGTAATCTTTAGAAAATAATAATAATGTATTGGCTGGAACGTATGTTCGTGTAGGTTCTATCATGCCAGGCAGGGCTATTGGAGAACGGTAAGACCAAAAGCAGCAACTCAAGGTCTGAGGGCGAAGTCATACTGCTGACTGTAGAGAGGTGTGACAGAAGTAAGGTGTTCCCCTCGGACAACCAGCATCTGCAGTGATGTTGCCTTCTCATAAGGAAGGAAGGGGTTATAAAATGTCACGTCTCACCTTACCTCATGGATTTGCGTCTCCGGTGGTAAGGCCCTTTAAATAACAGAGCTAACACGTCAAAAAAACCACAAAAAGTCCATGAGCGATCAGCCTCAGGCAGTTGTCCCTTGGACTCTGTGGTTACGCTCCCAGGTGGTCAAGACTAACATTAATCCAACTTCCTTTTCAGGTACCTCAAGAAATACCCTTCCATGGTGTGGGCAGCCGGGAAGTGAAATTAACCCTCATACCCGTATCAGCACACGAGACCCAGTTGGTCACATTCAAATCCTTCCTAAACCTCTTAATAACTCTCTTATCTCCACGACTAACCCTTCTCACGTCTCTTTATCACCTCGCACCAATAGGGCAAACGATTCGAGTACGCGGAATGTTATTCCTGGTCTCCTGAAACCACGCTTTAAACTACATGTAGGAACTTTTAACGTCCGAACACTGCCAAATAAGACAACAGGCTTCCTTAGTTAGGACTTTAGAATCTCGCACAATCAATGTATGCTGCGTCTCCTAAATGAGCATACAAGATCCGAGTAGCGTCATTCATTTGACATCATCATCATGTCATAATAAAGAACCAACTCCATTCATACTTCGTGTATCTGGAAGCTCTGATGCAGCTTGCCTTGGTCTCTCTGGAGTAGGTATAGCATTGAGTCATAGGGCAGAACTAGCTCTTTTGGACCAGATCACAGTAAACAGTCGTTTGTGTGCTGTCCGACTAAACGGAACAGTAAGGACTCGGAAAGATAGGGACACTTGTCGTAGCCTTTTCGTCGTCTCTGCCTGCTCTCCTACTGACTGCAGCTAAGATGATGCAAAAGATGAGTTTTATAGAAAGCTTTCCGACCTTCTCCGAAAAGCTAGGCGCTCTGATGCATTAATAGTGGCTGGTGACTTTAATGCTCAAGTAGGTAGACTAAGCGAAAGGAAAAGACACCTGGGTGGATCTTATGGTGTCTGAACATAACGAAGAGCGGAGTTTTGATGTTGGTTTGTTTTCTGAGCTGGATGGTTTGGTCGTGGAGCTTTCATCGTCCTTCTGAACGACATCATCAGCACAAACTTCGGGTAGAAGTGAAGTGTTTGAATTTCTTCACATGTGATTCACAGCTTGTCCTCTGAACCTCGATGTTGATTGGTTCTTATTGACCTTAAATCTGTCATTGTTTATTTCTTTGTTTTGGTTGTATCTCAAAGAGCGGAGTCCACTTACGCGCAGGCTAATAAGAAGCCTACGCAATGATCGCGAACAGTGGTGAGTAGCAAAAGCAAGAGATGGAAAAGGCAGCAGTAATAGCAACAGCAGACAACTGTTCAGACTTGTTAAAGAAATCGGTATTAGGAACCCTAATGTCAGCGAAACTACCTCGGATAAAGATGGACACATATTTCACTCTCAATTCAGATCAGATCGATGGGCAGAACACTTTAGGGGTCAGTTCAACTGGCCTTCACCTACACTTCGGTTTACCACGATCCCCAGTCGACCTGAATGATAAGTTAATGTAAATTCTCCAACTCTTCACGAGCTTGAAAAAGCTATAAGAAATCTAAAGTGAGAGAGAGTAGCAGGCCCTGACAGGTTTACCCCTGAAATTTTTAAGGATGGCGGTCCAGTACTAGCAGCGAGATTGACTGAGGTCTTAGGTAGAAACTGGGAATAGGACGTCTTCACTAATACAGATTATCAAACGCGCATGCTACTTTTCAAAAGCTTGTAGCAACCATCGAATTGACTTAGAATATTAAACAAATGATGTAACATTTTGAATAATTTATCCTTTCATTGTATGTTCAGTAACATGGGTGGATTATCAGTTTTGTTTCCCTGTCAAATGGGAAGGAACCGAAAGCCCTAGAAACATCCTCAGCAGGAAAGTATAAGGAATAGATATGTAGGATCATGGATTCCTTTAACAATTTATTTACATTTCAGATGAGTGACAATTTGAAGGCATCATTGAGATATATGCAGGGTTAGGCTATGAGACCGGAATCGACCACCGATTTTACCTCTCTTGGAACTTCACATAAGACATGGTTTAACAACTTGATCTTACTGAACCATACGAAGTAGGAACGGATTTCTATTATTCTTTTTATGTGGACACATTAACAGCAAAGTTCTAACGGGCCAGTGTGAGCAAGAGGACTTTCTAGAATTTATATCAGGTTTCTCTCATGATGAGACAAAGCAAACATAAAATCAACGGAAGAACGGTTATATAATCCCAATACAACCTCACCACAACAGTTGATAGATATTAAGTCTCAGAACTTACCAGACAATAATGCTGACTACCAACAAAAAGGGGGACTCTTAGTTTCAATGTTATTGTCTCGACTTTTACATGATCACTTTTCACCAATGAACTAATATCTACATATACTTCAGCATTCTCATATGTATGTGATAAACTGAGAAAAATGAGGTGGATTTAAACGTTAAATAAACCAATCTTCATTTGGAATAGGAGACATCTTTAGTACATGTTCTTATTAAGCAAACCTCAAATACATAGCTGAGTTCTACATTTTCTAGACATCAATAATCATCATACTTCTCACTTACAAAGACAAAGTATGACAGACAGCATAATGCTGATATTTTTGAGAATTATGATTAGAATTCCCGCAAATTTCTTCTTAAACACGAAATACTCTTCATATTGAGGTCAATCGCTAAGATATGTTTTTCCAGCAGTAAGTAAATGTCGAAGACATTCTGGATGGTGGTAACAAAACACTGGTATATGTAGGCAAAAAATAGACTGGTTGGTGTATATTTAAGCAACTTTTAACATGTGAACTTCGAGATGCTTCGCCCTAAGGGCAACATTCAAGCGAAAAGCTACATTATTTAGTCACGGCAGGAAATGAAAAAATTCAGAAGTAATTTAGCTAAGTTTCCGTTAGGAATATCAACCATATATTCCCATGAGCACATCTTTAATCCACAATATGGTCGAAAACGAGTTTTTCAACGACACCTAAGAGTATATTAAATACACCCGGGAGTAGCGCTTAGCTTGAAACAAAGGGTCTCAGTTTTATTGTCAAATAGTTTTGGATGGAATAAAGGAAGCTTTCACTTAACGGGCTTCCGTATCTAATAGCAGTGGACCACCAGTACCCCCAGGCAGGAACCTAGATATATTAACGATAATAGAGGAAAAAGGAAATCGGTAAATCACAATGTGTTATCTTTCCTCCCTAAGAATAAGTCAAGTTTCCTCTTAAAGGAATCCTGCGAGGTCGCTTGAACCAGCCCAGTCGGCAGCGAATTCTAGCATTTGACAACTCTTAGGTAGTAAAAGTTTTGTCTACAGTCCGTTCTGCTATGTTGGGTCTCCACTTTCTAGGTGTTGCCCCTTATGTTTATATTGGGACTAAGCTTAAGTAGGTGTTTAAGGGGATGTCCAAAAGTATTAAAGATACTGTAAGCCATTGGAAGATTACTTCTAAGACGCCTGTACTCCAATGAGTAAAGACCTAGTGGTTGGAGGTGCTCCTAGTAAGTTTTGAATTTGAGTCCATTAATTGATTTCGTGGCTCGCCATGCGGTGCGTTCTAGGGTGTCCTTATCCTTTAGGAGTGAGGGGGAAGTACCATGTCTTCGTACTCTAAATGGTGACGAATAAAACCGTTGACGATTATTTGGAAAGTTCTTCCGTCAAACTGGCCAAAAGTGCACTTCATTGTTAGCAGTGTAAGGTTTGTTCGAAAGGCATTTTTGTTACGGTTAACGTATGACTTCAAATCGTAGGTTGCCAGTGCTCCTAAATCTTTTTCAACTTGGAATACTTCTAGAGAGAAGTTGTCCAAGTTTTAGCTGCAGTCTGCAACATGTTTCAGATGGACCGCTCTACATTTTGAAGTGTTAAAGGTAAGCCCGTTGTCATCGGCCCAACTATGAAGTCGAGTCAAATCCTCCTGAAGTGCCAGTATATTATCTTGGTTGTGTATCTCTCCAAAGTTTCACATCATCAGCATTAGATAATAGGTCTGACGATACATGTTGTGGAAGATCATTAACATAAATCGAGAAAATATCAGATCCTAGTACTGGACCCTCGTAAACCCTACGAGGACATTCTGTAGCTGTAAATAATTCCCCAAAATCAATAGCTTTCTAAGTGTTCGACATTGGATGCTGACCACGTTGTTTAAGTGGACTTGTTTGACTGTAGGCTTTTGGTCATGCATCCGCACCAGATAACGTTGCAACATGGCGTGGGACACAGCTCCTACGTTCATTAGCCAGCTTATAGTAAAGGTTCCTCGATATGTTGGTAACGCATCAAATATATCTTTCCTACCTCTCCTCGTCTGACTTCTGGCTTCTATTCGACTGGGAAAGAACGATTATAGAAGATACTGCTGGTTGCTAGTTGCCTAACTAGAATATCCGTGGTATCCTCAGTGGTGAGACCGACATGATCTGGTACACCAAGTCAATATACTGTGAGTGTTCCATTTTGGAATATTATTATTCATTGTTATTCTTTATTTGAATTTTATATATTGTGATATACTTTTTTTCGCGAATTTTTTTCTCGTATATATTTTAATTAGACATTTTTCGTTATCTATATTACTATGACGGAACACTCACCTAAGGTTCTTAAGCTTAAGTCTATTCCCCCTATTTCGATTCAGTTAACGCCATTTTGGCCTGACAATATCGAGTCCTGGTTCTGCTATGCAGAAGCTGATTTTTGCATGCACGGAATCACGGACTCGCGCACACGATTCCTCGCGGTAGTTAAGACGTTACCGAGCGAATTTAACAGGTAAGTAACACCTAGTATGTCTACTAGTTATGTTCCGGAACCTTACGAAACTCTCAAACGGTCGATTTTAAAACACGGAGACCTAAGTGATCGACAACGGTTAGACCAACTCCTTAACAATATTGACCTGCAACATGGTTCTGCGACAGACATGTTGCTAAGAATGAGAGAGGTTATCGGCCAACGAACTTTCGATGATGGCCTATTCAGACAACTTTTCTTGTCTTAACTTCCTCAACAGGTGCAAGCAGTTCTCGCCTCACTTCACAACAACCCCGTAGACCAGCTGGCTGCATCTGCCGACTGCATCTTAGAAATCATAAAATTTACTAATATCGAGGTCTTTTCAGTCAAAGAAAAACCTCAAACGACCCCGAATGACATTACCGAACTATGTCAAACACTGACACGCTACCTTCGATTTCGTAATGACCGTAGTCGGTCAAAATCCCCACGTAGGAGCGTTTCACGTAAGTGATCTGTCTCTCGTGGTCGAGAGACGTACGGTAAAAGGTACGTCTACCCTTACGTGGGTTTACGCAAACCCATATACTGGATTTTCGTTGTTGCAGACGTCTCTATGTCAATCATTGGTATAGACCTGTTACAATACCACAATCTACTAATCGACACTCGCTCAAGAAAGTTAATAGACGGAAACACTAAATTATCAGTTTGCGTAACTCCCTTTTCTGGTTGCAAGTTATCCCCAGTCACAATTAAGAACACCATAGACCCCCTGTATCAATCAGTACTCGACAAATACCCCGGGATATACCAACCGCAATCGAAATTGCCTTGTGTAACCAGCAATGTTATACATCACATCGCGACAACAGGACCACCTGTATTCTCGAAAGCCCGCCGACTCGCTCCCGTAAAGCTTAGGTTAGCCGAAAACGAATTCGACCATATGATAGATATGGATAATTCGACCATCAAATAGTCCATGATCATCCCCCATTGCACATGGTCCCTAAAAAGGACAGCAACGATTGGCGGCTAACTGGTGATTATCGGCGTCTGTATGTTAAAACCATTCCCGATCGTTACCCGTTGCCTCACATTCACGATTTGACAGCTACCTTGAAAGGTACAACTGTCTTTTCAAAAATCGACTAAGTTAAGGCTCATAACCAAATGCCGATGGCTCCTGACGACGTTCCTAAAACCGCCATCATCACTCCTTTCGGTCTTCACGAATTCTTGCGAATACCTTTTGGTTTAAGAAATGCGGCTCAAACCTTTCAAAGGTTTATAGACGACGTCTTCCGAGGTCTCAACTTCGTACATGCGTACGTTGATGACTGTCTAATAGCAAGTCCGGACAGAGAATCACATTTCAAGCATCTGGACATTGTTATTGATCGACTCCAAAGGCATGGCATTACTGTCAACATTCAGAAATGCCAAATCGGAACCAACTCCTTAGACTTCTTAGGACACACTATTGATGCTCAAGGCATCCGACCTCTTAGAAGCAAAGTGGCGGCCATTCTGGATTACCCAGAACCGACCACGATCAAGCAGTTGCGAACTTTTAACGGACTTGTAAGTTTCTACAGACGGTTCATACCCAAATGCGCATCTCTTATGAAACCGTTAACCGACCAGCTTCGTGGAAATGCCAGATCAATTAGTTTAGACGACACGGCCCGTAAAGCATTTTCCACAGTTAAGGAACACATCGCTAAAGCAACCTTGCTTGCTCATCAGGACACTCAAGCGCCCATTAGTATCGCCGTAGACGCATCCGACTCAGCAATCGGATGAGTCTTACAACAATGGGTTAACAACTCATGACGACCTTTAGGAATTTTCTCGAGACTGTTGCTAGACGCGGAATCTAGGTACAGCACGTTCGGTAGGGAACTCCTAGCTATGTATTGTGCTGTACGGCATCTCCAACATTCCATCGAAGGAAGAGAATTCACACTTTTTACTGATCACAAACCTCTTACCTTCTCTTTAAGTTCATCTTCAGACAAGTACTCACCGCGAGAGTCTCGACAACTCGACTACATTTCGCAGTTTACTTCAGACATACAACACATTTCTGGGGCAAACAACGTAGTCGCAGACGCCTTCTCTCGAAGAAGTTCCTTGAACAGTTTCCGAGTAATCGACCTTCTTAAACTCGCTCAGCTTCAAAAAGAAGACAATGATCTTCAGCATGAGTTATCCTCGACAACTATTAAACTAAGTATTAGGCAGATGGGAACAGGTAAGGAAACTTTACTCTGTGACACATCTACAGGTAGGGATCCTCCAGTAGTACCAAAACATTATCGACGCAACGTCTTCAATACGTTGCACAATCTTTCTCATCCAGGTGCTCGTGCAACTGTCAAACTTATAGCCGAACGGTTTTGCTGGCCTGGCATGAATAAAGACGTGAGGGAGTGGGCACGCTCCTGTGGACACTATCAGAAATCTAAGGTCATAAGACACAACAAATGTCCCTTAGGTTCTTTCAGAACCCCTGACACTCGTTTCGACCACGTTCATCTGGATTTGGTAGAACCCTCAGCCGATTCAAACGGATACTCATATCTCTTAACATGCGTAGACCGTTTTACTCGATGGCCAGAAGCAGTACCGATTAAAGATATTACTGCTGAAACAGCGGCTCGCGTTTTCGTCGAACGATGGGTAGCAAATTTCGGCTGCCCTTCCACAATCACTACAGACCGCGGACGCCAGTTCGAATCTGGACTTTTCCGTTGTCTGACCCCACTATTAGGAATCACGAGCTTCCGAACGACCGCCTATCACCCACAAGCAAACGGGTTGGTAGAACGTTTTCATCGACAACTTAAAGCTTCATTATCAGCTTCAAACGTTTCACAGTGGACAGACGCTCTAACACTCGTCTTGCTAGGTATCCGCAATGCAGTGAAAGTTGACATTGGATACACTGCATCTCAACTCGTTTATGGAACGGCACTCCGACTTCCAGGAGGATTCGTATATCCTCCAGCTTCTTCATTGAACATGGATCTAAACTCTTACACGAGTAGGCTTACAAACGCTATGCGTTCAGTTAAACCTGCTCACACTCGACCTCAATCAACTGATGTTTTCGTTCAACCCGAATTACGACATAGTACACACGTCTTCGTTCGTCGAAACTCACATCGACGACCCCTCGAATCAGCATACGAAGGACCTTTCAAAGTTCTTCAACGCGAACCTAAGTACTATGTGGTCGATAAGAACGGTACGAAAGATAGCATCAGTATCGATGGACTCAAAGCAGCGTACTTAGAAGGAAACCCTAGCTACGTCGATTTTCCTTCGGTACAAGCAAACGACACAGCTACTACACCTGTAGTACTCCACACGACAACCGACACACAACTTGATACTTCGTCAATGCCGATAGATAAACCTAAAACAACGCGTTCTGAAAGACGAGTGAGATTTCCAGAACATCTTAAC